GCTATAATTATATCTGTTTCGGGTCGTCAATGATCTGAAATTTTAATCCGTGTTTCGGTTTGACCCGTGGACCGTTATGAATATATACATTTTAACATGTTTACGATCGATTGCATGTTAAAATGTTACATGAACGAGCAGTTGTTTATTCTTCTTCATTCATAGGTTTTAAACACCCAACTTTGGCCGAATTTCAATATGTAATATTATCACCTTAATGTGTGTAATAAATCCGAATAGGTATTTTTTTGTTAATCCTTGTTAAAAAGCGTCAACATATTATCCTATTAACTTTTCTAATGGATCAAACAGATTACCTGAACAGAGATGTTTATTTTCCGTCAACACACCTGTCTTTTTACCTGTGTGTATATCAATCGTAGTTATAGTTATGATATTGATATGAAATCTTATATTTATCAGTTACATATTATTTTGAAGAAGAGTACAAAGTGTGAAATTTGATTCCAAACTTTAGAACAATATTTGTAGATACATTGTCGAAGACTTGTCAAAATAGGTCGAATACATATATCTCTCATGACCTGATGCATTAAAAGATAAAAAAAAGGAAGTCACCTACATATCTATGTACAAACATGAAATGTGTACTTATTTTGTTTCTTTTGAACTAATAGTGAACAATTTGACTTGTGCCTGTCCCAAGTCAGGAGCCTGTAATTCAGCGGTTCAGTGTCGTTTGTTGTTGCATTCAATATTTATTTTTCATTTATTGCTTTGTACATGAAACAGGCCGTTAGTTTTCTCGTTTGAAATGTTTTACGTTTGTCATCTAAGGGCATCTTATAGCATTCTATGCGGTATGGGTTTTGCCAATTGTTGAAGACCAAACGGTGACCTTTATTTGCTAATTTCTACGTCATTTGCATTGGTCTATGGTGGACTGTTATCTCATTGGCAATTATACCACATCTTCTTATTTTCATATCTTCCGAAAATCCTGGTCGGACGCAAAATTGATGCAGTTTCTCTGATAATGTTTGCAGCCGTAACATGCTTTGAAAAGTATTATCAAACCCTATAAACTTAAACGCATGTCAGTTTCTTGAACTAGAACCTTCTTTATGTTTTGTCCAATCACAAGAAAACATGCATGACCGAGAGTCTGGAGCAAAATAGCATTAGCTTGATCTGTGAGACTTGTATTCTTAAACAGTTCTTTGCTATATTTTCATTACATTTAACCATTTTTTAACCAGGAGATGAGGGAAATCTAAATTTGATACCCTTCTGTCGATGGAATGTGCATCTCCTTACTTTATTTATTACGTATTACCAATCATCAATTAGGCATACACTAACAGATAGTACCCTTTCTTTCACTATATACGCGATCGCCTCGAGTGCGCAATGTCGTAGGTTCGAACCCCGTTCGGGCCATACCAAAGACTGAACCAAAATTATGTGAACACGTTAAAGCGTGGGCGGCTCAGCGTGCACATGTTGGTCTAGAACAATCCAAGGTTTATATTCATTGTCATATTATCGTCCTGAATAAGCATTTAATTTGCCACTAGACGTTCAACAAACAGTCTTTCGTCATAATCATCTGAATGATAGCAATTAGCCTTCAAGCTCTAGCTTGTGATAGACTTTGTAGAACAACAATATTGAACAGGGACATGTATGATCATATGCAGTACAGTATATTACACACGGTGTAACTAATTGATATGTACCTATATCTTCGATTAGATTAAAGTCATGCATGGGGTAAAATTTAACAAAAAAGATGACCATGTAATAACCGATTCTAAATGAAAAAAATAATTGGCTAAACCAATTAACAACTGTTATGACAAGTTTAATCAACAACTACAGAAAGCATGGAAAACATAAGCTTGAAAAAACAAAAAATAAAACATCGCTCTATTATCTCGTTTAATTTGTGCACGCGCTTCATGATTCTGTGTTGATTATTTATCAATGTAAAATTGGTAAGCTTCGGCACCAAAATCGAAAGTTTATTAGCAGCTTAATAGAATAGAAAATGGAAACAAGGAATGTGTCAAAGAGACAACTATCCGGCCTAAGAGCAGAAAACAGCCCTAGGCCACCAATGGGTCTTCAACGCAGCGAGAAAATCCGCACCCGGAGACGGTCTTATGCTGGCACCTAAACAATAATGTATACTAGTTCAGCGAAATGGACGCCACACTAAAATCCGAAATATACAAATGATCCAAAATAAATAAAAAAACATACAAGACATATACACATATATGTTTTCGATCAATATTACGAGTTGATTAGACGTTATGGATTCGTAATAATAGTAAAAAAAACATGCACAGAGAAACTTGGTTTGGTATATATGCGTACATGTATTTAAGAATTGAATGTTTCTTTTTGGAAATTTATTGGGGTGTAAAAGCGTGGACCGAAATACATTTTGTATGAAGCGCAGAAGCGCTTCGTTCTAAAAATGTGCGCACGATCAACGCTTTTACAACCCTATAAAATTACTAAAAGAAGCATTCAATACTTATAGTTACATGTTTTTGCTAAGATCATGAAAACACGATTTTTTTTTAATTTTATTTACCTGTGCACTTTATTGTGGAAGCTCGTGTCGTCATGAATGTTTCATTTCATTTTGAAATGAAGGCTAATTTCAGAATGACGCGAGATTGCTGTTAGCCAATCAAAATAACGTATTATAATGAAATGTACTTAGTGATTATATTTTTGCCATTGCATGCTTATTGATTTTTGCTTTTTGATATTTACGTTGGTATTGTTTTAACTTATGCTTGTGAAGTCTGGGGATTTTCCAAAGCAGCTGAAATCGAAAAAGTTCATTTATGTTTTTGTAAAAGATTACTCGGAGTGAAGCAATCAACCAATACTGCTATGGTGTATTTTGATATCTATTTTTAGCTGGGACGAATTCCCTTAATAGTGAAACGTAAACTGCAGATTTTTAAATACTGACTCAAACTTTTGAACACAAATAACTGTATTCTGTTTAACATAGGACCCTATGGGAACTACATATAAATGTCTTCTCTTATAGAACCAGTGAATGGAATGAAACCAAACATGGCATGAACGTTCCTTATGAGATGCTGACCAAGTGTTGTTACTTTGCAGTCGGTCTATCATCCAAGATGGCCGCCAGCGGGGGACTTAGTTTAACATAGGACCCTATGGAAAATACATACAAATGTCTTCTTTTAGAGAACCACTGAATAGAATGAAACAAAACATGGCATGAATGTTCCTTATAAGGTGCTGACCAAGTGTTGTAACTTTGCAGTAGGTCCATCATCCAAGATGGCCGACAGCGGGGGACTTAGTTTAACATAGGACCCTATGGGAACTACCTATAAATGTCTTCTCTTATAGAACCAGTGAATGGAATGAAACTAAACATGGCATGAATGTTCCTTATGAGGTGCTGACCAAGTGTTGTTACTTTGCAGCCGATCCATCATCCAAGATGGCCGCCAGTGGGTGACTTAGTTTAACATAGGACCCTACAGGAAATACATACAAATGTCTTCTTTTAGAGAACCACTGAATTGAATGAAACCAAACATGGCATGAATGTTCCTTATGAGGTGCTGACCAAATGTTGTTACTTTGCAGTTGTTCCATCATCCAAGATGGCCGCCAGCTGGGGACGTAGTTTAACATAGAACCCTATGGGAAATACATAAAATGTCTTCTTTTAGAGAACCACTGAATGGAATGGAACCAAACATGGCATGAATGTTCCTTATGAGTCGTTGACCAAGTGTTGTTTCTTTGCAGCCGATCAATCATCCAAGATGGCCGCCAGCGGGGGACTTAGTTTAACATAGGGCTCTATGGGAAATACATACAAATGTCTTCTTTTAGAGAACCAGTGAATGGAATGAAACCAAACATGGCATGAATGTTCCTTATGAAGTGCTGACCAAGTGTTGTTACTTTGCAGTCGGTCCATCATCCAAGATGGCCGACAGCGGGGAACTTAGTTTCCCATAGGACCCTATGGGAAATACATACAAATGTCTTCTTTTAGAAAACCACTAAATGGAATGGAACCAAACATGGCTTGAATGTTCCTTATGAGGTGCTGACCAAGTGTTGTTACTTTGCAGCAGATCATTCATCCAAGATGGCCGCCAGGGGAGGGGACTTAGTTTAACATAGGACCCTATGGGAAATACATACAAATGTCTTCTTTTAGAGTACCACTGAATGGAATGAAACCAAACATGGCATGAATGTTCCTTATGAGATGCTGACCAAGTGTTGCTACTTTGTTGCCGATTTACTGTTCAAGATGGCCACCAGGATATTTTATTAAATAATGGGACCAAAATTAATCCAAATTTGGCCTCAATCATTATTTGGGTATCTGTTTTGATTTTTATCTATCTTTACATGATTTCTAAAACCAAAGTAGAGTCAGATGAGCGACACGGGCTCTTGAGAGACTCTAGTTAAAAATTCATCTTTCGATAAATATAAAATAATTGCTGACAAATTTTCTGGAAAAGGAAAAAAATTCTTGAAGATTAAATAATTCATACTATGATATGACAAATTTTACTGTATCGCTATGGCATCGTATACACTCCCTTTTTACAATCATTCCTTTTCAACTTGAGACCTTTACAATGTTATTGAGTTAAAAAAAAATTGTAGACCATCTACTGTTTATTTGAATTGAGAAAGCATCCGCCTCCCCGCAAAACAAAGAAAAAAACCCAACTCAACTGAAAAAAAACACTCGCAAGTTTTGGGGAAAGAAATCTTAGATTCAAATCTCTACTTGATTTTATCAGTTTTTATCACGTTTTTATGGACTCTCCCTTTTTGAATTTATCTTGGAGTTCGGTATTTTTGTTTTACTTTTTTGGATCAATATCCAATGATGTTCATAGAAGTAGAACATAAATCTAGTGTGAATATTAAACAAGTTATAGTACACCGGAAAACTTTCTGCTGGCCCCGGGCAATAAACGATGGTATAAATATAATCGATCACCGGTCGCCTCATTTTTCGAAGGGGAGGTAATCATTAACAATGGCGACAACAAGCACAATGTTGGCATCTTTGGTGGTAGTTTTGTTGCCTTTTGCAGTGTTAGGTAAGATATTTCAGTCAACTTCATCCTTAAATCATCTTACTAGATTTTCTCAAATGAAGCAACGAAGAGAAGGCGTAAGAAATATAGTTTTTACTGTACAAAATCTATTTTTGAGTTGCCGGTGTTGACGTGGCAGTTTCATCTGGATGTGTAATTTTGGAAATACACGATGCCGCCAGGAAAATTCACCCATCTTATACTATTTACTGGTTTAAAAATTCATTTTATTATTTATGCCGTGTCCTTGATTGAACCTCCGAGTAAAGAAAATCGTAATAATGACAATCCTAAAAATTCTTTCCAAAACAAGTGGGGTCTGTACAATGCTTTTGGTGTAAAAATTACACTGCATAAAATGTATTTTAATTATTAATTTTCATCTAATTCAAATATTATATCTTGACACACCGAAAGGCTTCTAGAAAACACATAATCTGTTTTAAATTAGAAATACAGTCAGTATGGTAAAAGTATCAACTCAAAATAGTTGTGCAATAATCATTTTGATATTGTAATGCAGTATATATTTCATCAAATATGTCGGTTATGAAGCTAATAGCTTCAAACATTGCATCTAGCAACTCCTTGTATCTTATACTAAAAAGGATAGGATCCTTCCATATGAGCCCCACAACGATCTTACAGGTATACTAAGAAAAAGGATAATATAATTTATGGGTGTTGTTTATCTGATTCATTATGTATTTCAGGAAGCACATGTGTTTCACCAGATGTCAAAACAGAAACATACACAACCACTGATGGTATGGCTTCCATGGACACAGTTTTTGTAGTAGAATTTTCATTGAAATGTCAACAAAAAGTAGAGGTAATGTACATGTATTCCAAATTATAAACCTTAATAAAAACAGATTATGTCTGCCTTTGCTGAATCTGAAAACACAGTCAAAACCATGTTTCAAACATAAGATTTTCATCTTCCCCTCTAATAAACACATTAAAAGGTTTGGGAAGGTTTCACTTTTTGTCTTTAAATTTTCATAATAAGGGGGGACTTCAAATATACATTTGTACTTCATGCCTGAGATGTCAACCATCACTGTTTTTCCAATCTTGATCTGTTGACTAACAAAAGGTTGATGTACAAAAAGAGAGAAAAGAACATAACTCAGTCATGTCAGTATAGGAAAAGTATTTAACTCACTAAAAACTGTTATAGATACAGAGAAAACAAGTACAAGCAAGGGTTTGTATTTATTGAGTTAACCAAATTTTATCAGTATCTCAATTCATCATGTTCATCATGGCAAACACTGCATGCACCATAAACAATTATGAAAAATCTAAATATCAATCAATCTGCTTTGAAAAATTAACATGATTAAGAAAAAAGATCTACATTTTGTATTGCTAGATCATTAATGATAACTTAGGCAAAAATGATTAAAGAATATTTTATGTATTTTAACAGAAAGGTTAAAACCTCCAGATGATAATAATTTAGATTTTTTCATTTCTGATTTTAAGTCTCATTATTAATTGAAGTATACATTACATTTGATTCAACAGTAAGAATTATATCACTGGATATATATGCTTTCCAAAATTGTGCAAAGTTATTAAAGTGAAAAAGTTTCTAAAATATATGTACTAAGATTATTATTTATAATCATGATAATTCACTTTTCTATATTTCAGAATTTAAATTTATATGCTGATATAAATGGTAGAACAGTACCAGCAACAAAGACAAACAAAGCTGATAATTACCAGGTAATACACTGTCTGAAAATATATAGTTTATACACAACCAGAAAAGACTGGGTTTGTTAATGGTCCTGATTTCAATCTGCTATTCCTTTGGTTTATTGATGGTATAGACAGGGGGTCATCGTTTTCATTTTTCTAGTAACCACTTGAGACTCCTGTCCATCTTCAAGAATATTTAATATTTAGTTAGCAGCGTGATAATGTTGAGTTGCAATATGTACACAAATTTTACATCTACTGTGCAGCTACTTCCTGTTTGCTGATACTTTAAAAGTTCAATCAATTCTACTCGGCGACACAGGTCTAGACCTGGTATTGGTCTTGTTTCAGTAAAAATCAATTAGACTAGTAGATATCAGGCGTGAAAAAAGTTAAAACAACAAAATAAAGCCAACATTGTGACAGCATGCTGTAAAATTGTGGTTTTTATACGACGGCAAAAAAATTTTGAGGTAGTATATTGGTATGACGTTGGCGTTGTCGTCGTCGTCCGAAGACACATTGGTTTTCGCACTCTAACTTAAGTTTAAGTGAATGGATCTCTATGAAATTTTACCATAAGGTTCAATACCACAAAAGGAAGGTGGGGATTGATTTTGGGGGTTATGGTACCAACAGTTAAGGAATTAGGGGCCACAAATAAGCATATTTGTAACTTCCAGACATAACTTGTGTGTTAGTGTATGGATCTCTCTGACATTGTACCACAAGGTTCCATATCACAAAGGGAATGCTGGGATTGATTTTGGGGGTAATTGCCTCGAAAACGTTTAGGAATAAGGGGCAAAAAAGGGGCAAAAAACAAGCATTTTTCTAGTTTCATGACAATAACTTGTGTGTAAGTGTATGGATCTCTCGACATTGTACCACAAGGTTCCATATCACAAAGGTAATGCTGGGATTGATTTTGGGGGTAATTGCCTCAAATTTTATGAATTAGGGGCCAAAAAGGGGCAAAAAACAAGCATTTTTCTAGTTTCATGACAATAACTTGTGTTCAAGTGTATGGATCTTTATGAAATTGTACTACAAGGTTCCATATCACAAAGGGAAAGCTGGAATTGAGTTTGGGGGTAATTGCCCAAAACGTTTAGGAATAAGGGGCCAAAAATAAGCGTTTTTCTAGTTTCCAGACAATAACTTGTGTTCAAGTGTATGGATCTCTCTGAAATTGTACTGCAAGGTACCATACCACAAAGGGAAGGCTGGGATTGATTTTGGGGGCAATTCCCTCAAAATTTTAGGAATTAGGGGCCATAAAAGGGCAAAAAAAATAAGCATTTTTCTAGTTTAAGGACAATAACTTGTGTGTAAGTGTATGGATCTTAATGAAATTGTACTGCAAGGTTCCATATCACAAGGGGAAAGCTGGGTTTGAGTTTGGGGGTAACCGCCCTAAACGTTTAGGAATTTGGGGCCAAAAAGGGGCCAAAAAACAAGCATTTTTTAGTTTCAAGACAATAACTTGTGTTCAAGTGTATGGATTTCTCTGAAATTGTACTGCAAGGTACCATACCACAAAGGGAAGGCTGGGATTGAGTTTGGGGGTGATGAATCATAAGGTGGTTCAAAAAATTTGGGGGGGGATTTATTTTTTTCCTTTTTTTTTTTTAAATTTTCCATTTTAAATTGGTTATTTCTGATTTATATATAAAAGCAAATAATAATGATATGGTTTGAATAGGTAAATTAAATTTTTTTAATTTCTTAGACCACATTCATTCTGTGTCAGAAACCTATGCTGTGTCAAATATTTAATTATTAAATTCAGTGCTGTATCAAGCTTGAATGTTGTGTCCATACTTGCCCCAACTGTTCAGGGTTCAACCTCTGCGGTCGTATCAAGCTGCGCCCCAGCGGAGCATTTTATCAAGTTTTACCCTTGTATGTCCGTCTGAACGTCCCAAAGTTGGTTTCCGTTCTCTAACTTTAGTTTGCCTCAACCAAATGTTATGAAACTTTTACACAATGCTTATTATCACTAAATACAAATCAAGTTTGAATTTTGGTGGCGTCACTTTTACCGTTCTAGAGTTATGCCCCTTTACAAATGGAAAAATTGCTAAATTTTCCGTTTCCGTTCTCTAACTTAAGTTTGCCTCAACCAAATGTTATGAATCTTATACACAATGCTTATTACCACAATATACAGATCAAGTTTGAATTTTGGTGCCGTAACTTCTACTGTTCTAGAGTTATGCCCTTTACAAATGGAAAAATTGCTGAATTTTTCATTTTTTTTCTAAATATCAAGTATTTTTAAAATTGGAGTTATCTTTCTTTGTCCATGATTATAGTTGAATCAACTACAATCAATGCTTTATACAATGCAATGTTTAATTTTACCTTCCACTGATAAATTAAAGCAATTTTTACCCTTCATTTCTAAAAATATTTTAAAGTCTTCTTTGAAAATTGGAGTTATCTTTCTTTGTGCATAATGGTAGTTGAATCAACTACAAACAATGCTTTATACAATGCAATATTCAATTTTACTTCCTACTGATAAATTAAAGCAATCTTTACCATTCAGTGCTTACAAGCACTTTGATTACTGTTCTAGAGTTATGCCCATTTACAAATGAAAAAAATGCTGAATTTTTCGTTTCCGTTCTCTAACTTGAGTTTGTCTTAAATTAATGTAATGAAATATATATATAATGCTTTTTACCACAAAACTCAGTTTAATTTTTTTTCATATATCATTCATACAATGAGTTAATGATTTGGACAGATAAAAGCCCCATATACCGTAATCGGGCTTGTATAGTTCGCACTGGTACATAGTCCGCACCCCCTTTTCCCCACAAAATTTTTGGTAAAAAAACTTTTTGTAACTGTTAGAAAAGGTCTAATGAAAGTCTGGTAATTTCAAATCGTGTGTGGTCATATGCGGTATTTTCTTGGAAAAACCTATTTTCCATCAACAAACAGAAGCTGAAACTGCTTGTAAATGATTCTTAAAGCCTTCATGATTGTTAAAATAAGTCTAAATCACACAAAAAACAATTTAGAAACTTGTTTATGTTTAAACCGGAAGTTTGAAAAGCACGTGTAAAAGAAGAGAAAAACGGTGAGAGTCGAAATCCATACATACTAGATACCAATATAATACGACTTTGAAAGTAAAACAGTTCCATCCTGATGTAAAATAGTGTTAAATATATCTATCACATTAATGTTTGAAGGGTTTTAAGCTAATAAATAACATATTAGTCAGTATGAAACACCAAAACGGAACGTATAATAACCGATTACGTTTTGTAATTTACACATCGTAAGCTGGTTTACGGTTGTCTTTTTTACTTTTTTTGTACAGTTTCATTCAAGCAGATACCAGTTTATTTTATAAGCAATGCATTGAAAAGAAACGAAAAATTTGTTATGAAGCGTTTAATTTTTAAATTTATCAATATTAATTTGATATTGAATAATAATAACTTATTAATATGGATTAGGTAAATTTATTAGTTTGAAAAAAAGATAAGAGCGCCCTCTACAATATCAATAACAAACATGGCGGAACGAAAATAAACCACCTCGCGAAATTGAATTTTTTCTCTTATTTCTTGCTTATTGTACTCTATAGTCCGCACCCCTGCTGGCAGGTTCAATTTGGGAGAATAAAACCACTGACTATACAAGCCTTTTAACGGTACTTTGCCTTTAAGGTGGTACCCAACACCTTGACTAATATTAATTTGGCTCGTTTAATTTTCATAAAATTTTGACAAAATGTTTACTTTGACCCTTTGACAAAAATATAAAAATTTCAAAAAATTTGAACCAACCACTTTATCAGAAAAATTTCATTGGTTATATAGCAGTTTGACAAACACTAATTTTGATCATTGAGAAGCTTAATATTTCCTACAACAATACAACGTGATTAAAACGTTTAGCTGATTTTTACAGAGTTATCTCCCTGTAGTGTTAGGTACCACCTTAAAAGGACAAAAGTTGTCAACTCAAAAAAATAAATATAAAGTAGCATTTTTTAAAGGGGAGTGGAGTTCATCCCCTTTAACTTCCCTAGGCCTCTTAGATCAAATAATGTTGACTTTTGATTAACATTATTGTCAAACAAAGATAATTAATTAATATTAACAGTTGGAAAAATATATCTACATGTATGCAATTATTGCACCTGTATATCTACATGCTGCATGTTTGCGTCTATCCCAAGTCAGGAACCTCTGGCTTTTGTTAGTCTTGTATGTTTTTTATGCCCCCGCCGTATCGGAGGGGGCATTAAGTTTTACCCTTGTCGGTCTGTACGTCCCAAAATTGGTTTCCGTTCTCTAACTTTAGTTTTGCCTCAACCAAATGTCATGAAATTATACACAATGCTTATTACAACAAAACACAGATCAAGTTTGAATTTTTGTGGTGTCACTTTTTCTGTTCAAGAGTGATGCCCCTTTACAAATGGAAAAATTGCTGAATTTTTTGTTTCCGTTCCCTAACTGTAGTTTGCCTCAACCAAATGTGATCAAACTTATGCACAATGCTAATTACCACAAAACACAGATCAAGTTCAAATTTTGGTGGTGTCACTTTTATCGTTCTAGAGTTGTGCACCTTTAAAAATGGAAAAATTGCTGAATTTTTCGTTTCTGTTCTGCCCCAACTTATTGTTATGAATCTTATAAACAATGCTTATTACCACAAAACTCAGATCAAGTACAAATTTCGGTAGCGTCACTTTTACAGTTCTTGAGTAATATCTCTTTATAATGTTATATGCAAGCGGGGGCATCATCTGTGTCCCATGGACACATTCCCCATTAATTCAATTTTGGTTCATTTTATGTTTGGAGTCTAGTGTGACGTCCATTTTCACTGAACTAGTATACATTATTGTTTAAGGGCCAGCTGAAGCCCGCCTCCAGTTGCAGGATTTTCTCGCTGTATTAAAGACCCATTGGTGGCCTTGGGCTGTTTTGTGCTCTTTGGTCGGGTTGTTCTCTCTTTGACACATTCCCCGTTTCCATTTTCTATTCAATTAAGCTGCTAATAAACTTTTGATTTTGGTGCCGAAGCTTACCAATTTTACCTTGATAAACAATCAGCACATAATCATAAAACGCGTGCACAAAATTAAACCCGATAATAGAGCGATGTTTTTATTTTATTTTTTTTCCAAGCTTATGTTTTCCATGCTTTCTGTAGTTGTTGATTAGACTTTGTCATAACAGTTGTTAATTGGTTTATTAATTTAAATAAAACAGAAAAATAAAATTTCCTATTTGAATACCTAAATTTTGAAATGATATATCTTCAGAAATATTGTCTGATGGAATGCTACACATAGATATGTTAAAATGTAATTGTAAATTTAACTTGACAATCTCTTTTTTATCTACTTCAGATTAGTTTTTCTGAGGAGCATAAAAATTTACCCTCAGGATCCTACCAAGTAAGATTATATGATGATGAAGGATATTCTGCATTAAAGAAGGTATGTACATGATGTATGCAAATGTAAATATACAAACAGATGGTTAGTGAAAGCCATAAGCATCAAAACATTACAGTTATTATCATAATGCAAGCAAGTTAAAGGTTTGGTTGACTTGCTTGCTTTGTTTGTATAAATGTTTGCTCAAGCATTGTAATTAAGATTGACATCTGAAAACAGTATAAAAAGGGGGAGTTAAACTTGTATACATTATATTTAAATTTGATTGGACATTATCAAATAATCAAATTTACCTATATACAGGTTTAACTCCGCTGACTTATATTGTTTGCAGATGTCAATCTTAATTACAATGCTTGGGCAAACATTAATACAAACAAAGCAAGCAAGTCAATCATACTTTTAACTTGCTAGCATCAGGATAACAGCTGTAACTTGTTGAAAAACTTGAGAAATAGTGAAGTTACATATTACATTTAATGAACAGATACACAATGAATACTGAATTACAAAAAAAGGAAGTTAAATTTCTTTGTAATGAAAAAAATTAGCATATTTTTTCAATAGGTATTTCCATCTCATTGCTCAAATGTTAAAAAAACTTACTTAATTGTTATTTGACATTTGAGTTGAAAATTAATTTAAAAAACGTTTTCTATTGCTTTGTATTAATTTCCAGTAAATGCTTACAAGTTTTAAATAAAAAAATATGTTGAGACTGAAAAAATTATTCTACAAAGAAATGGTGAGTTTCTTGTATTGCTTGTACATAAAAATGTATATTGTATACATACATTTTAAAAGAGATTTTGTTAATTGTACTAACTGTTGATTTAAACCTCTTTCAGGCTCAAAGAAGTGGTGATTCAGAAAGCCAGATAAAACCAGTCCATACTTTTCACATCAGCCATCCTGTATGTACATTATATTTATTGTAAATTAAGGGAACTAATAAAAACATATTACTTTACAAAAACCAGCCATATGTAGTTCTAAGAAACTGCAGTGTCAACTTCAAAAATCTACCAGCCTTGTTGTTGTGAATTTGAAATTTGTAGAGTGGTCAAATTTAGAGATTTTATGTGTCTACACTATTTACAGAATGTGAAATATATGTTTATCAGCTGGGGCATACAGAAAATCTGAAAAAAATTGTCCATATAAATAAAAGATGTCTGGAATGTGTCAATGATACACATAAAACGAGTCAATCACACACAAAAAAAAAAACGACAGAGGTCAAAGTGTCCTGACAATATGCCAAGTTATTGATTGTCCAAAATAATACTAATCTAGGGCATCACTTGAATTATTTATGGCAGTGAAAACTCACTTTGTGTCTAATAACAAAATCTTAAACACTCTACCACATTTCTTAATGATTTTTGGGTGCTAAAAGGAGATTTTGGTTAGGTGCTAGGGTGGGAAATTGATTCAGTAGTGCAAGTACTTAATTATGGGTTTTTTTCTTTGCTATTTATTTCTTAATGAATTTAAAAGAAAAATAATGTTCATTTTCACTTGGAAACAGTTCATTTCTGTATAACAAACAGTAAAAAGTTCATAAAAATATGCCTGTTTAATTCATTGCAGTGAAAATACATTGAAAATTTTTGCCAGTAAAAGGCTTGCCTGTCAAAAAAATTTTAATTGATTGTCCAATGATTTGCCTCCCCACAGTATAAAAGGCCTTCTCTAGCATCAGATTAAAAAATTATAAAAAGAATTCAGTTGATTAGAAGAAATGAATTGCAACTGCAACTTGAAAAAAGTTAATTTGCTAATTTGAATTTTGCAAGAGCAATCAATGCCTTTTGAAAAAGAACAGCTAGAATTTGTTAAAAGAATGTAAAGAAAGTTATTTCCAGAAAGGGAAAAGCATTTATGTTTAATAAGAAAAAAAGAAAAAAAGCAGCTCCTTGATAAAAATGTTAAAACATAATTATTTTGCTTTCAGGGTGTATGGAAAGGACCTTTACTACAGAGTGAATTTGTGGCTTCCATGGTTGCCATTCTTGTTTGGTACTTCGCATACACAGCAAAAGCAAAACTACAGTCCAACTAGAGAATCCACTAACATCACATTTCTCTCAAATCATTCCATCATACGAATACTTAATTATCATCTTCAGGGAGGATACATAAAGACTCCATATTGTTCAAGGAGAAAGTCGTCATTTGAATTTTTTTGTTCAAATTTCTAAACAGGATTATGAATTAACTTTTATTTTGAATTGTTTAAGTAACAGTTATATTTGGGGGGAAATGCATCCTTGAAAAAGAAAAGAAGAAAATATTTTTTACATATATAAATAACAAGACAAATTATGGTTCTAAGAAAAGTTATGCAATCATTTTATATTAATTATATGGGTATATGTTAGAGTGAAATATTGACACCCAAAAATAGAACTTACTTTGTTATTTATTTGATTGTGTGTAAAAGAAGGTGTGAAAGTGAAAAGAATAAAAAGTTTTTTATTTTATAACATATTTTATTATCATTTTGTTATCATATCTTAATCCTAAAAGCATAGTATGGCATGTTGTTTCTGCTGCAGCATCAACAATGTATTAGTATGTGATTAGGTCAGTTTATAGGTAACAACTAGGGGTATGTCAATGATAGTTGGTATGCAGTTATATTAGTATTTGCACATTTCATTCCCATGGAGATCATTCGGCCCACCCCCTCAGAGACATATATCTGTGACAACAGCTCATTACATGAAAAAATACCATTTTGTCCATATGAAGCAGTTGCATTTTTTTAATTAAGGGTATTTTGCTTAATGTTGGCTGTTATTGTTAGTTCCTTTTGGGTTCTCTTTTGAAACACTCAGACAATATTCCATCTATATATGACTGTTATAAGCAAATTATTTGACTTTTTTTTCTTTTCCCAAGTTGACAAGGCACAAATGACCATTCCAGCTATGAATAATGTTGTCATCACTTTGCAACTTAAACTGACACCCTATGGTAACACTGGACTTAATTTGGGAAATGTTTCTGGCCAGTGAATGACAACATACAGCGACTCTTTTCACAAAAAATCTTACGATTAAAATTGATCGTAAGTTATACTGAAATGTGTATGACTTACGAGTATTTTTACTCTTAAGATTTTTTGTGAAAAGAGCTGCTGAAGCTTAATTTAGGAATGTAGGAAAAATGTTCTCCTCATGTTCTGACTCACAGAAATTGTTATGCAGATCTACCATCTAATACTATAGCAACAACATAATTTAATAGTAAACCCATGACCAGAAACCTTTCTGAGGAAGAAAAATCTCTTCTTGCAACCTAATAAGTATACATTCAAGACAGAAAACATATACTTTTGAGGTACTGAATTGTTACTCTGTGAAATTGACCAACTGTGATATTGACCAACCATTATTGTTGCCAACAGAAACTTTGGATTTATATAGGTTCATACATATGAAAAGAGAGGCAACTCCCAAAGTTATCACTTTTACTAAAGAGTCGCCCAGCATTAAGGTTACAATAAACTATTAGATTTTATGGGCGCAGCCATTTTATGAGCATAACATTGTATTCAGAATTAAGAGTATAGCTTATCCTGATTGGTTGATATGTGCGCCCATTATTTTTTGTTATTAGAGACTTTCGTGCATTCTGCATTATACCAAAGGCCAAATAAATGATTTTCCTTAGCCCTAATGGAACTGAAATGTCTTTTAAACGCTAGGATGAGACACATATTTTTAAGTGCAAAATTGATAGGCATGGGAGATAAGTACAAATTATGCTAAGAAAAGCAACGCAAACCTATATTTTTTGGACCAAAAAGTAGTCCTAATAACTTTTCTTTAATTCAAGCAAGGTTTCGTTAAAAAAATCAACTTTCTAAAGTCTGTATCTCGAAAAAGGCTATCATTGTCGCCTATAGGGAAATTAATTGTTTATTTCAATCTTAATTATAATATAAACAAGTTGTTGTAAATTTCTTCAATAAACCATGCTCATGAATGATTATAATTTTTTGGTAACTGCAGAAAAAAGTCAATCCCTATCAAAAGTGCTTCAAAGATGTTCATGATAGAAAGATGAAGTTGACAGCATTGCTTGTCATACTGGGAAGATGCAATGAATCATATGAAACTTTGTTAATATTGTCCTTCATTATTAAGATCACCAAAAGACTAAGAATGGTTGCAAAAAATATTGATATCGAGAAGTAGAGGAAAAAAATGTCCAGTACATTATCACAGATATTTGTCAGCTAAAAAAAATCATAATTCAAAGGATTGTATTTTGGTAGCATCTACATTTATACTAACAACTTGACTCAGGATGCTGAAGAGCTAGAAAGAATAATAAAAAGTAGCTAACAATATCCATTAACTCATTATCATTTCAGTTCAGGGGTGAGCTAGCATGTGACTTGTAATCATACTGATATATATTGGTATAATTCATCACCGGAGCTTTAGGTTAGGTTAAATTCGATACATTCGAGTTTACTTCTCTCATGATAAATTACCTACATGTACTACCTATTACCAGCTATCGTTACGGCAGATAAATAGGATTTGTGTTCCCGTTTGCCATTTAAAACAATCGTTTTTGTCTCCCCTGAGACGGAAGGCAAGACACAGGTATTGCTTTTCCGGCGACGACGACGTCGTTGTAGGCGTCAAAAATTGTCAAGTTTTCTAAGAACTTGATAGATCAATGATATTTTGTATGAAGTTGAATTAGTGTCAGTACATATCAGTTTGACGACTATTTTGAGGCCCTGCTCCCTAGGTCATGGTCCAGTGACTTTGAATAATTAGCAATTTTCAATGTTACGTTTTCTGCTCAAGTTAGTTTAATAGGAACTACTTGTGATAGATCAATGATATTTTCTATAAAGTTGCATTACTATTAGTACATACCAGTTTGACGACTATTTCGAGTCCCTGCCCCCGTAGGTCATTGTCCAGTGACTTTCAATTAAATACCAATTGTCAATGTTAGGCTTTCTGCTTTATTTAGTTTGATAGGATTTAACTTCTTAAAATAGACAATTATATTTTCTATAAAGTTACATTACTGTCTGTAACTCTCAATCTGTTGACTATTTCGAGGCCCTGCCCACTAGTTCATGGTCAACGTGTACAGCAGATTTTGATATTTGTTACCTATTATAGTGCCGATAGCCTGTGTATGATGCACATTGTATTGTGTGTCTCTGCTGTTAGCATCAATCTAGGGGAGTAAAACCGCATCCCATTACTGGTCTATAGTTCATGCATCATTGGACAATTTAGTCGAAGCCATGTACTGGAGTATATCAGCATTTCACCAAAATCAAGTCTGTCACGCTTCAACGACTAAATTAAGTTATACGTCCGTTATTTAATTGTAGAACACGAGTCTGTTGATTCCATTTATATATAGGGATTATTTATATTAAGACAATGTTGAAGCAAATAATCTTTTTAACGTATTTGTTACACCGGACTGGGACTCGCCTCATCAGATGAAATGTTTGTACACATTCGGCCAGCTTACCCAGGGAACGTAACTCAAAGGCACGTGTTCAGAGTGTACCAAGCTGTCTTCAGCTAACTAAAGTCTAGCAGCATCACTATGCAAAGTGTCAGTTTGGTATAATGCAAAAATCCAATTATACGAGGAAAAGATTTCAGTAGGGGAAATTCGATACTTTGTTCTGTAAAAGTTTTTGTATAAATGTTCCTCGAACATGACATTTTTAAGGTTGAGATTATGCGAGGAAGATTTGGCGCCCCATAAAACCTGGTTCAACCAACCACTTTCATTTGCAAAGTGTCTGGGCTAGTTGTGGACTATATTAGTCAATTGTCAGTTGTTGCCATGATTTTTGTTTGAAGACCCCCCTAGAAAAATAAGACAGTGTTTATGAACATTTACTTCCTTCATATAACTTCAAAAGAAGTTTATACTAGTATGATGTTTCTCATTCTTCCTATAGTTTTATAACTTGGCGTTAGGGTGCATCACATTGCCTGCCAAATTGAGAGAAAACATGTGTTTGAAATCTGTCAGAAAAGCTTTATTTGTTAGTATTACTTGAATATTGTTACAGCAGAAAAAAAGGATGTATTTGAAAATCTATCAAATATCTAAAGATGCATCTACGAATCCCTAACTTATAACTTGCTATCTCCATTAAATATGTAGAGCTTAGAAACGTTTTGTTTTAATGAAATATTATAAAAGGTGTATGGCATCATCTACCAAGTATTGAGTCTACAGTTGTAAGATAACTGAAGACAATCACATCAAAACTAGGTAGGCTTACTCTGTAATAGTCGAACTTAATGTACACTGGCAAATAAAAGTATGAACAGCATCGGTGGTCTTGTGCTAGCTTGCTTGCGTCGATTGTGGGATTCAATCCCAGACTGAGTTAAGGTAAAGACCTTGAAATTTGTAATTGTTGCTTCTATGCAAATGAGTATTTAGGAAAAATAGCTATGAATGTTCGACACCGAATGCAGAATAATTTGTCCGTGTAGGGAAACATATCTTTCTGTGAAATATGAGCTTATGAGCTAGCACATTGAAATTTCATCTTCGCGTTACGGTCTCGTACAGCGCAGGATTCATACACATTATTATGTTCTCGTGTTGCACATTGCAGTGACATTGTCAGCTCGTTTTCGACTCATGGGTTTGATTATCGGTATCTTTCGCCCCTCTTTTCCTCGTTTTGAATACTAGTATGGTTTTAAGATAAGTGGTAAATATTTAACACCAATCTGACGAACTATACAGCTTATTAATAGAAGTCTCTTGTAACTATACGGGATAAACTTGATAATGGCACATTCTTAACACATGTAAAGCTCTCGAACCTTTACAAAAATGTTGTTAAGAACATCATTTCTTCGAACGCCAGCATTAATGAGGACCTCGTATAAATGAGATGGTGAGATGTCACTCGTAAGAGGATTTTGTAAAGAGGACCATATATTTTTTTATTGACTGATTCTGTGTAAAACTCTGAACATCATTTCGTGCTCTTTTCAGAAAGGATATGCTATCTTCACTTAAACAGATTGATTTCGACTATGTAAGATAAAAGAGCTTCTGCATAACCAAGATTCGATTTTATTCAGAAATGCAATGTTATTGAAATTTTATTATTACATAAAGTGCAATATTCTATCATTCCATTCTAATAGTCTCGTTGATGCACCAATTTATTGCATATGAGATCCTTTGGGTCTTGGTACTCATAAACACAAATCGAATCAATATTTTTGAAGAATGCCAGTATACATTTAATCATATATATAACATAGTATATGTCAATGGTATATATCTATTCTGTATAGTTGACCATATCTAATGCTTAATGGAATGTATTACTTAAAACAGAATAATTGATGAAATAGAATTAGAATGTCAAAGGGGAAGATGATTAATCGAGCTAACAATTCTACGGCATTAAAGAAGTTATTTTACCCTACGATCAAAGAGAAACCAGACACTTTGCCACGTTTGACGGAACCAACACATTGCAAACGACCTTTTGAGTGATATTCTTGTATAAAAAAAGTAATGGTTTAAGCAGGTGTTTTACTCATTATCTTTAATACCACTATAGTGAAAAGGACTTGAAACATTTCCAGTTTCCCGTAGATTTTTTTTTAATTGTAGCCCTTGCAAAACTTAACGGCAAAAGCATGTGCTGGGACATCGTATAAAAACTAGACTATTATATGACTTTTAACAGCTCAACGAAAATAAACAAGGTCAAAACTTACTTATATTGTGCTAAAAACTAAACAATACTAATGAAAAGATAGGTGATTATGTCACGACGGATTATATTGCATGTCTTGGCAGTCCAATGCTTCGACAATAACAAAAGTAACTTTTGTCAGAATCGGTGCCAAAAAGTGTGCAAACAGAATTGAGATGATCTTGTTTACAACCACTTAACAATGTTTATATTTATCGAATTTACTCGTCCAGCAAGTGTTTGGTATTTTTAGCACGATCTATTTAATAAACATTGAATGGAATATTAAACCCGTAAATACTTACAACTGAACCGTAACGGGTGTGTTCAACCGCAGAACAGGATTATTCTGAAAGGGCGTGGAAAAGATCCCACAGGGACGGCGATAACGGGAAAAGGTGCCCGGCAGTACACCAGAACAGGTGAGTAAATACATGTATTTTGTGTTTCGTTTTTATGTTCATCCACCTGTTAATTAGTAAACATACCTTGTTATTTCTGTCAATATAAATGACAATGAGCATTCTTCACTACGGACGGTTGATGGATTTAAATACAATAAGTCACTACATCGGTTATACATGTAAATGTCATATACAATCATATACCTTTTCATACATTTGTTGAATTATTCGCTGAATTTTACCAGACATACAAGTTATGGATTATTCGTATGTTTCTACATTTGACATTGACGCATTTAAAATCCGAAATTGAAAGTACTGCAGTTTAAAGTACTTTATTTCGTAAGGTGGCATGCTTATCATAAGCTCGTAAAGCCTAAATTTGAGTTTGAATGCCTCAAATTTGTTGGTTTCCAAAGTTTTCTTGCTTTTAGGTTTTCTATATCGTCCTGAACATGCATGAAATATTTGCCACTGAACGTTAAGCAACCAACAATTAATCAATCAGATTTCCTATACACGTAATTTCTATTCAATTCAAGATCGCTGCTGGAGACATTTTCTTCTTTGACTAATGGTGATGGACTTGAACTCGTTGAAAATATCTATGAAGTTGACACTGTAAGTGTAGCCCTTTTTAGGGAAAGTGCAAACATTTAGGATCTCATTTGGCCTACGTAAAACATGTTCTGATTTAAGTCCGATCTTGAGAACAAAAGGTCTCTTTAATTAATAGAGATGTAGGGAGATTTGAAGTCCTAAAAATGAAAGTATTGTAACACGATAGTTTTTCCCCCGATCGTTTTTCGGGGAAAAACGATGAATTTCGTGTAACCTGAATTGGATATTGGGAGAAAAACGTAACACATTCTTCTATTATTACATCACATTTGTTTATTTTCGGTTCATGGAAAAAAAATGGCACAAGAAATTCATGGAAATTAGTTGAATAATTTTTTCGCATTTTGTTTGACAAAATTGGTTATGATGCATATTAAAACTTTTGAATAGATACGAATGGTATGTTGATGAGTGGTTTATGTTATAGATTAAATTGGTGAGATTAAATACCCATTATGCTATGATTATCGCATTTTGAAAAATCCACTATGTCAAAGGCCTAGTGGCATATTTAAAATCAAGTATTGGTCATTAATTACAACCGACTTTGTCTACTTTGACTTTTTTTTTCGTTTACGGAAACCTCCCCGATACCCCAAAAACTTATGCAATACACTGTCGAATATTAATATTCTGAGCTTACTCCAGACTACATTATGTTTTTGCCTACAGTAACTCAGTGCATATTAATGGAAGATTATACTCCGTGCAAAATCTGAACAAAAGTGTCAAAACTCGAAAATCTATCCAAGGTCTTCACCAAGGATCATTCCTCCTTGTGACCAGGACACTGGTATGTTTTAATTGTTGCCAATAAAACATTCAATGAAAGAAAGATTGAGCAGATAACTTGATGCAAATACGATTAAGAAACGAGAAAGACCTTACTATTATAGTATGAAAATATACACGGTACTACAGTCTATCGATAACTATAGTTTGGCATTGCACAAGGTCATGTTTTTCTCTGACTGTTAATGACGTCTTTACACTAAATCCATTGGATGTTGGATGTATACTTATTGATATTTTAGTCTTAGATACATGATTTTCTTTCATTAGTTGTTATTGGCTTTGAACTAGCTGTCAGTAACTGCGAGTATTCTCAGATCTGTACTTATAGTGTCTTTTTGTTTTTGGGATGTATAAGTACCCGTCCACGTCCACTCTGTGTTTTTGTTAGGTGTATTTCTATTTGTATCCATCTGATGAGTTGAGCCCTTTTCAACTGAACTGATTTTTATAGTTTGTTCTTATGTTGTACTGTTACACCACTGTCCCAGGTTAGGGGAAGGGTGGTTGAGCGCTCACAAACATGTTTAACCCCGCCACATCCTTTATGTGCCTGTCCCAAGTCAGGAGCCTGTTAGTTCAGTGGTTGTCGTTTGTTCATGTCTGTCATATTTGTTATTCGTAAATTGTTTAGTTATAAATTAGGCCGTTAGTTTTCTCAATTGAATTGTTTCATATTTTTCATGTTGGGGCATTTTATAGCCGACCATACGGTATGGGTTTTTCTCATTGTTGAAGGCCGTACGGTTGCCTGTAATTGCTTAGATCCTCTTCATTTGAAATTTGGTGGATAGTTCTCTCATTGGCAACCATACCACATCTCCATATTTTTTATACTGTAGTTTGGACTATTTTTTACTGCTCCATCACCATTTTAAAGATCATATATAAAAAGTAAATAGTTTCAAATGTCAATGCTGTAATTATAAGCGATTTTAACAAAGAATTATGACATTCAACAACATTCATATAAGTTAATGAAACATTCATTTGTTCGTAAGAAAAAGTGTAAAAGATTGATCCTACACTTGATAAGAGTATATGATTTCAATAAAAATCTATTATTGTCACAGACATGAAAAATTGACGATCAAAAATGTTGCAGGTGACAACATTTTGAAGTAGTTACATTTATTCATATGTTAATTCGTCATCCCAAAATGACATGTAATTTGGATAAACTATTTTTCTTTGTTACGCTTACGAATACACATGTTATTTTCATGTCAGAAATTACTTTTAAAACGGTAGCTTGGGATGTTAGATAGATATAAAACAGTCCCATTTTATTCAGGTAAGTCATATCACTATATATCGAAATAATATTTGTACAACACAAAAGATACGATATGAAATTTTGAAGGGAGTGTAGTATGAAAGCAAAGTATAATACATTACATCGTTGGGTTGCTGTCAAAATGCTCCGTCCTTCACCCCAACCTACTTAGCAGAAATCCACATATTTGATATCGTTGTTTGGTTTGTTGTTTTAAATATTCATGAAATGGTTGTCACTGGACGTTAAGCAAACGACCATGTGAACAGCAACTGACAGAGCTTGAATACTGAAAGATGGTTCAAAAACTATATCGAATTACACATGTAATTGAAGAGTGTTATTAGAAAGTATTAGTAATAAAATCTAGCGAAATATAGTGATTCATGCTGTTTCGCTATAATACATCATATGTAATGAACTATATAGCTCTAGATTTTATTTCGGCTTTATTAGTATACATCGACAAGCCTAAGGGTCGAATATTTAAAATGACAAACTCACTTCTTTTGCCTGCAGTGGAAGTAAGACAACTTAGTAACGCAGAAAAATAGATAATTTAAAAATTACAAAGAATTAATCACTTTAATATTAAGTTGATAAATTACATATTGTGGAAAAGGAATGGTGTTGATGTCCATGAAATGGGCTTTGTTACTAAATGAGACGGATAATACAGGTACGTCTTATTAATTTAACCTTGCATTTTAAAAGAAATACATCCTAACTGAAGCTAATAATTTAATACAGAATTATGTTTTATTTGTTGGTGACAAGGTGCAAACGTGATACAATGTGGATATACAATATATTTTTACGACATAAAAGTGACATTTCACGCATTTTATTCACATGACACTGATTTACCTTGTGAAATATACATTTGCACATAAAACATTATCTAGCTTGAATCTCTGATCTTATAAAATAGGGAAAAGTTGTACTCATTTAACCCAGTCTTTAGTTTTTATGTAGTGTATTGCAGACTGCTTTTCGTCTTTTCGTCGTTTTTTGCCATGACTTTGTCGGTCTCTTTCCAAATTATGAGATTTGATTTTCCCTTTTGTTTTTCAAATCTCTCAAATAACGAAATTGTGATTACGGAAGATATTTTAATCACTTAGCCAATCAGATTTTGGAAGCGAGGATTTTTATCACTCAGCCGCAATGAGCTCAAGGAAATTATACATTCAGTAAATAAGAGACAGATCACTGGATCATTCAAAACTAATAAATCGAAGAGAACCTGACAACGCCATGACAGAAAAAAAAACGAAAGACGACGAAAAGACACACAAGTCCGCAAAAAAACTGCATAAGAAACTAGGCAGGGCAACACGAACCTCTCCAAAAACTAGACAGAGCAACACGAGCCCCTAAAAAAATTAGACAGAGCAACACGAACCCCTCCAAAAACTAGACAGAGCAACACGGACCCCTCCAAAAACTAGACAGAGCAACACGGACCCCTCCAAAAACTAGACAGAGCAACACGAACCCCTCCAAAAACTAGACAGAGTAACACGAACCCCTCCAAAAACTAGAAAGAGCAACACGAACCCCTCCAAAAACTGGGATGATCTCAGGCGGAGTAATTGAGTAAACGAAATGGTAGATTTGAATCAGCTAGTTTATTTTAGGTAACACTGGGGGTTGATATCATTTAAGCTAAAAGAAATTTGTGAATATCGATTTGTATTTTTTCAAATGACTCAGCTGGTGAGTTTTGTTCACGCGTGAATACTGACAAATTCTGAAATTACTGACAGTTATATTAATTTCAAACAATGTGTAAAGAATGAATTAAGCTTATCTTACATTTTAAAATTGTCTTTTATGAGCAAATCAATTACAACTCCATTGCAAACTAACCTGAAATCATATCTAAATATATTATAATATTCGTATATTAATTTGTTCTCGTTGTGGGGTAGTTGTCTTACTTGACACTCTTGGCAATTCCACTTCATCTTTTTATATTTACAGTTGTGACAACATTACATTGCCAGTCTTAGTTTCACATACAAGTAAAAAAAAGGAGTCTGGTATCTGATCTTTTCGTTTTACAGTGAAATCATGATACCTCCACTTACTCTCTTTGTGGTCTGCCTTTTGATACCGTCATTTGGAAATTCTCTACAAGACATTAAGCCAGAAGTAACTATAGAAGGATCTCCTAACATCGTTGCCATAATAGATTTTCACTTAGATTCGGACAGCGATGGGAACTGCATAAATCTTTCAAGAGCCGGTATTGATTCATTGATGGCTTTGAAATGGTCTAACGAAGTTTTGGACAAAAATACACCAAGCAACACCGGTAAGATTTTAACATCGACTTAATACTAAATAATAATGATAATAATAATAATAAACGGTTATATTTAATTCAGTTCTTTAAACTACATGAAGATTTTATTACATGACTTGGCAATGTCAAGATTGGTTCGCTAATTAGGAAAGGTAACATGTAATTAAGTAAATTGTTTATTATAGTGACTTGTGAACATGTATCAATAAATATAACACAAAATTTGTATAGTCAATGTTGCACCCGGCCCATTGGACCTATAAGTCACTTATTTGACTAATAACAGTAGGTTAATAAAGTATCTAAATATAATATTTCTCAAATAGTTCAAAATTAAAATAAATAATTATGGGAGATCAAATATGTAAATAATTAAAATGTTATGTCATTTATATCTTGTATAGCCGCGGAAACTGTTTTGTAAATTTCTATTCGAACGTGAAAATTCTAAAGATTTAAACAAGTTTTACATAAGTTTAATTTTATTGTAGCGTTTTTGTTTAAACCTGTTCTATGTTATCATATTTCCAGGACTTGTACTTTACGACTCGTGTGGATCTTTAACAAGGGCATTGAAGATTGTTGGACAATTAATAAATACTCAAGGTTGTAGTAATTGTACAGAGATAGTCGGTAGGTAAAATCATTATTAGACATCCATTGATATTTTGTTTGTATGTATACAAAAAAAATGGAATTAATTAGGCATGTTTTCAACCAAACAACATTTTACAATATTATACATTCAGTGTTTTATTTCCTAACAAAGCACACTATATATAAATGTCGGAATATCATTATTCAATCTAAAATGTTACGTAATTTGAAAATTGTTCATGTATATTAAATTGAAATTTAAGTGGGACATTTAAAGATTGAATTAGCTCGTTTCGGGACAGAGATAATAACCAACTTCCCCTGAATTTGTTTTACTAACAGAATCAAAACCGTAAAACTATTGGAATTGAATGTCAAAGAGCCTAAAACAAACTGTAAAGATTTTTTCAGCAATTTTATATAAATACTAAATTATTTATATAAATAATTAATCTAGCATTTTGTTTCCCGTTTTTCATAAATCGCAATAATAAATGCATGCAATAATTTCTTTTGATACATAAATGATTAACGTGTTTTTGAAGAAAAAAAATGCATTGGAGGACGTTCATAACCAAGTAAAACAACATAAATTACTTTGTATCTGCTCTGAGCCAATCTATATACTGTAGCTACAAATGTCACGATGCATTTTGGTAAAGAATAGAATATCCATGTTAATATTTCTTATAAATACTAAAATTTTCAACAACCTTTCAAAATTGAAATATTGAGACATCTTTAAGCATTTTTAATGTAAATACAGTTTCATGAATACGACATGGTGTTATGGATAGACGAAGCTGTAAAACTGTAAAAGCTTGTCAAGATTAAAATGCTTAATGTGTGAAATAAATTCAGGGAAAACTCATCCTAGCTCTTTTTTTATATGTTTTGATTGTTTTTAAGGACATAACACAGCTGTGGCAAAATTTGACTGACGGGATAAGTTATCCACTCAAGATATTTTTTTGGGACGGGTTACAGAAACTATCACATTCGGTCACCATACTAAAGAAAACACGAAAGGAGACACTTTTCTTCACGAGAAGTTAATTATAATCGAAACACACTTAAATATTTGTATATATATAAAAAAAAAAAATGTACACAAAAGTTTAAATGACAAGTATATCATTTGACGGCTCGTATGAATTTCTGTTTATTCCCAGCTAAGTACAATTTAACGAAAGAATCATCAACTATCATGTAGATAGAATAAAAAACCTATTCATATATGACATAATATTATCAAATAGTGCGATGCGATATCGCTTTTCACTTTATGAGTGTACGCGTATCATAACAGCTTTTTTCACCATAAGCTGTCTCCTCGATAAATGATAAACATTAAGATCACAAAAAGGCATTTCCTAAAAATAAAATACATCAACAGAGGTCTAATTACTCCAACGTTCGAAACCTTATAAAACATATCGGAGCACAAAAATGATTCACTCCCTTGTTTGATAACACAAACCTGCTTATTTTTCCTTTAACGTACAAAAATAATAGTACCCTTTGGGTAATATGAGGAAGAACGATTGAAATCGACACCTTTCAAGCTTTACGGTAACCATCACGAATTAGTTGACCGATACGATGTGTCAGTCTCTTAACTTGAGCGAGACACATCTTCTTGATCTTAGTTCATAAGACACAAACACATTCGTGATCAGAAAGTTGAATAAGTATGTTATATACATGTATTCCCTGTAATGTTACATCACTATTATGACATTTAAACTGGGTCTGGATTCACATGAAAAGTGATGCATATATAGTGATCCTTACCCTGACGACGCAACCGGTCTCGGTCAGTATTCCCCCAGTCCCTGTTCTAAAGTATATTAAGTTAATATTAAGCCTTGCAACAGGTCACCTACGGACCCCTCAAAGAGTTTGTGAGGAATATTAACATGCAAAGAGCGCGACACTTCCCTTACACGAGGCATCTGATTTAATGTCCCCATTCTGACCAGACGTGGCTGCGAATTCATACATACCAAACTGCCAAAAGGACGCCCCACTTTGGCAAATGTATTACTGCAGGTCGGAAAAAGACAGAAAAATAACCATATTTCTTTACCCAAGTTACCCTAAGGGTTCATTTTCTCTGAAGATTAACAGTTACCGGTTAACCGGTTAATCGGTCGATAGATTATCCGAGTAACCGGGTAGGCAAAAATGTTCAATTTGACAACACTAACATTAACTATGGATTTACGAGTTGTGAACATCGACAAACTACTTATTACTCTTATTATTTCTCAATTTTCAAAAATAAGATTCGTGCTTAAGGTCGTCTGTAGTATAGGATGTATAAATTATTAATTAATCGCAATATCTGGTCAGAATAGAAAGATTAAATCATAAGCCTTTGTTGGAGGGGCATAATTTTAGCACATTGGAACATTTGCAACCACTCTTTAAGGGAGTCTGCAGATGATCCGGTGGAAGATACAATTTCTGCTCCTATAATAAACGTATACGCAATGAAATACGTAACACATAAACTATATTGTATATATAAAGGGAAAATGATATATACATAGCTAAAAACAACTATAAAAATATAATACCGTAGTAGTTCAAACAAAAAGTTTACAATAGGGCTTCCCATAAACAAGAATTCACCATACAATTGTAACCTGAGTGTATAAATATAAGACAACGGTAGTTTACCGATGTTCAAATTTCCAACATCGATTAAAACGATACAAATCAAGGTAACAAACAAAACTGATGGTATAGCATGACCCCCAAAAGAAGCAAGACCGTGTGCGTCGACAGGGTAAGCGTCCCCTTCTGTGCATACATCAACCGTCATGCGAATACACATAGTCACAATCGGGACTAGAACACAATTGGTAAATTATAGATCAAACGACTTTTCTGGTATCTTAATATGTAAGACAGCGAAAACATGTCGTTTCGTTTGCGAGTGGAGACACAGACACATCGTATCGGTCATCCAATTAGTGATGGATGAACGTAAATCTTGTGTAGTGTCGATTTCAGTCGTTTTATTCTCATAACTCTGTTCGAGCAATTTTTGTGTAAGGAGCACACTCCTATTAATGAAGTCCGTATAGTGTGAACATGCCCGAGCGTAACGTATTAATTGAGATATGTAAAAGCCATACGATGGGACAAAGGATTTGTTACTGCTGAGAAATGGGAAGTTGACAATTGGAAAGTTGAAATCATAACGATTGTCATAGATTCTAGCCTGAATTCGTTCATCTGTGTCATTATCGGGGCAAGATATGAAACATACCTTTTAGTTTTGGTAGTATCTTCCTTAATCACAAGTTCACCGAGATATACTAGATGTAAGCAATCAATAAAATGTAGGTTATTGAGTTGCAGGACATCAGCAATATACCTGAATGATTAATTAAAAATACGTTGCAAGAATTAGATCCTTTTTTATTTTGTTTTTGAGAAGGTTCTGTATGAGCTGTATGAGCTCTGCTTCATATGAGTACAAAAAACAAGTCGGCAAGTAGTGGTACACAATTTGTACCCAATGAAAAATGGCTGTTATAAAAGTAATCCACAAAATTCAACAAATAATGCTATTTGAAGGAATTGTTAATGTGTATCTAGTATTCGACCAAACTCAATTAAAACTGAAACCAGTAAGATTCATTTTGTATTTCAGTTGGTTGAGATTCCACATGAATTAATTCCAGAAATAATATACACTCGCTACCTATAAATATTTGGTTTATGACAATGACCAATGAAATTCAAGTATAATTACATCATTGAAATTAATAAGCTATAATCTAAAATAATTATTTCACTTGTTCTTAATCCTATAATAACAGGTTTAATAACATTTACAAAAGAAGATATTCAGACAAAAGTTTTAGATGTTATACGACCGTTTGGGATCGTCAATGTTGGAATATCACAAGGAAGTTACATCTCCTTCAGTTCAGACCTGTCTTTAACTATTGCAGGCGTTTCTCTCTGGAAGTCAAAGGTACGTGATTCAATTTATGACATGTTAGTCATAGTTTTTATAAAGGTACAAAACATAATTGATAAGACCTGATAGTGATAGTTTTGAGAATATTTCTTATTTTCTGTTATTTATAGCATTGTTTAAAATATCGTGCACGAAATTCTCAGTACAAGGTATGTAAGATAGAACGGAAAATACTTGTTTTTGAGGAAAGGTTTCAAACGCTGTGTTGGAATTTCCTTGTTCGAAGCGTGAAAAATAAAACTGAAATAGGGATGTTCCTATATGTTTCTATTTCAACGAAAATTTCAATTCCATTGAAAATGAACACAAACATAATAAGAATAATAACTAAGAATTGAAATAGGTTTCACTGAAAGCGAATTTGCTTGAAGGTTTCAAGTCTTAAAAGTCTTAAGATACCAGTAAGAATAAAACGGCTGTATGGCAGCATGAGCGATGCTCATAGTACTACACGATATCTTAAATCTTAATATAATATGTGTACAATAAATGACATATTATTCACAGAACCTGATAAATATATTTTCTAGGCTGTAGTGAGGATATTGGAGGAATTTCATTGGAAGCATATCGATGCATTTGCTGCCAACAACCCTCTTGCTTCAACAGAATTTGAGTTATTCTTGAAAATTGCATTTTCTAATGATATCTGTACCCGCAGGTTACAAAACACAGACAATAACTCGACCTTAGTGAACTTGTCATCAGATGTAGTTGTTATTTTTGTCTCGGGTCATGATAACATAGATGAATTACTTTCTAGGTTGACGCCATACAAAAGTAAAACATTTCTCATCGTGGGTGATTCGAATATTGACTTAGTTACTTCCGAATTAGGTAATAATACTCTTTTGCTGAAAGAACAATCATTCGTTGTTCAGAATATGCAACAGTACTTAGAAAATGAATTCAGTATTATCAATAAAAGTGAGGCAATATTTGCAGAGTTTTTGAAATCTCTGCCTTATTGTGAATATGATAAAGTATTCAACCATACAGTCTGTAGTAAACGCATGCTTCAGTATTGGGCGTCTAGATTAAACGATCGAACATTTCTTATTTCGCTGACTGCATACTATAACATCTTTAGGCTTATAGCACGGAAGGAAACATTCAGCTGTAGTGGATATGACTTCACTAAATGTCTAAAAGCTGTTAATTTCGTCACCCTTAACGCCCAACAGACTTCAGCTGGAAATCCGTTTCGAACGCAGGAATTGACTGATGGGAATTTCTTGGATCAGGTTCCAGTAATTGTAGCACAAGGACCATCACTGTCATCTGAGGTTTGTTTTTCACTAATGTTTTCCTCGATAACAAAAACCAATAAAGGTAAGACTTGGATATAATTTTTCAGAATTCTTTTATATCTTTTACATCGATCAAGCGAATTGTAAATGGAGATAGACAGAATGTGATGCCATCAACTATTGCCTGATCATGACCATTATTTTTACTCTACTTATCAAGTGAATGTGCTTTACTCCTTATGGGTATCTTTTTGATTGGCCAAAAAAGTTATATGTTTAAATTCGTTTTTCATCTGTTTGGAATATTTCACATGTGGTTGACCTTAACTCTCATGTACAAGAAAAAGGATAGGCTTGTTAAATAAGTATTCTTCCGAGACAATGCATAGTAGGGCCTAAAAAAATAAAAAGATACATGTGACATTGAAAAAGCATAAGTAAAAAATTAACACAAACCCATGGGCAACATAAAAAAAGACAACAACATACCACAAAACACTACACAAAAAGGGAAAGATGATTTAGCAACACGTACCACACCAAAAACCCGGGACAAACATAGGTTCTGTAGATATTCCTGCTCCAGTTGTCACTCACCATGGTACTCATTAAAAGTTGTAATCAGTGGAAAGACATCATACAATAGCGTATAGTAGATTAATATACATGCTACGTCTATAAATTTGTAGTGAATGAATTCATTCTCATGTATATACGTCCGTGTGGTAGATATCGTTTGGCCTTTCCTCATACAATAGCGAATAGTAGGTTAATATACATGCAATGTCTATAACTATGTGGTGAATGAATTCATTCTCGTGTATACACGTCCGTGTGGTAGATGTCGTTTGGCCTTTCCTCATACAATAGCGAATAGTAGGTTAATATACATGCTACGTCTATAAATATGTATTGAATGAATTCATTCTCGTGTATACACACGTCCGTGTGGTAGATGTCGTTTGGCCTTTCCTCATTTTTGTTGTCTACTTACCTTCAACGGATAGTTTTATATTAAATATTGCTATGCAAAAGCAAGAAATGTAATTGTGTCGGCAAAAGCTTACAAGCTATCAAGTTTAAAATGATGGTTGCCCTGGTATCTTAGGCAACTTTTTACAACCACTGGGTCGATGTCACTGCTTTCGGATGTTTCATCCCTTATGATATCACCAGCCCAGTCGTAAACACTCCTATGCCGATATGAAATATGATTGATACAATCATTATCTATGAATTTACTGTTCATTAAATAGTCAAATCTGTCGAACCACTAGGGTTTTTGTAACATGAGGTGAGGATGGCCTTAGCCCGATTTGGCACAATTTTTTGAATATTGTTTATTCAATGCTCTTCAACTTCGCTTTTGACTGGGCCTACCTAACCTTCGAGCATAACTGATGAATTTTAATATTAATAGTGCGTCTAACGTACTAAGTTATAAGTAAGGGTCCTGGTTTTCGAAAGATAATTTATGATTAAGACATAGCTCTAAGTGGTCCTTTTGAAACTGTCTTAAGTTCGGACAAATCATAAAATTTACCGTAAAGTTAGGACATCAAAATACATGGCTCAAGATGACCGAAGATAATCAAAATTTACTTTCCTTCACAATTTTATCGAAAAAACATTTATTTTGCTACACTCGGCCTTTTTAAGCATTCAAGGTGTTATTTGTCTTATATCGTAATCACAATTTTAATCCTGCCAACGGCAATATATGCAATATGTTTTGGGCGTTTATCGTATTTCCGTGAAATTACATGTAAGACGTACATGTCTAACTAAATTCATTTAACGATTCAAATTAAATTTCAAATTCATTTAAAACATGTAATAAAGAGATATTACTATTGTTTGCCATGAAAAGAGCACATGGAAGAACTCATTGGGCTGCGGATATGTGCAAAATTTGTCATCTATCTTTATAAATTTTTGTTTTCTTTATTTACTTCCTCTTCTTCGTATTTTAATACTATCTTTATAAAGACCATTATCGATACTACTGTGATAATCATCGTTTTATTCAAAAATAATTTGACGAATTATCTTAATGTAGTCGACGAAATAGAATGCTTTTAAACAGATATAAGAATAACTAAGGATTACCCTGAGACCAGCCTCATAAGACTATCTTAGAACAGCTTTAATGTACAGTCTGATTCGTATCATATAATGGTCCTATGATAGCCATAAAAACTCTCATCATATTTCACGCCTTAGGAGATGCCTTAGAATACTTTCGAAAACTAGGCCTCTGGTATCTTAGGCGAATTTTTCATACGCCAGACGCAAGTTTCTTCTACATAACACTCGTGTAGATAACTTATTCAAATATGGGTATCTGCAGGTTTAAATAATACGATAATGCTTGATTCAAACTAATCTTGAAGATTATTAGTTTTTCCATTGTTCTATCACTGATTAATCAAAATAGCTTCACTGTAGAGACTTGTAGACAAAAGGCGCGTCTGGAGTGCAATTCCTGGTATTTTTTGTGAGTTATTTTTTCTTTAAAGAACGCTTAATTGTAGACATCGTTCTTCGACCTTGCATGTTTAATCCCTGAATGAGACTTATCATGAGGAACACGACATCATGTACTCACCTTCAAGGAACACCTGAGATCAACCCGACAGTAGATAGGGTTCGTGGTTTACAGTCTTTAGATTTGTAGACTGATGTTTTTTTTTCGTCGGCTTTCGTTTATTTTTGGTGGCCAAGTTTTATTTTTCTCTCTTCGATTTATGAATTTTGATTCTCTAATTGGTATCTTCCGCCTTTTGAAAAAAAAAGTATAAGAAAGTTTTCATAACATTATTTTTTATAGTGACAGGTATACAGAAAGATTGCAACATACATTATTTTCTATCTATAATAATATATTATAGCATATATAGTGTATGTCTTTATTCTATGGACAATAAACAAGATTATATTCTCAAAAACTCTAATCTTATGATCGTGAATCGTTTTTTTTTTTGCAGTTACATCAGTCTTGCTTTCTTCCCCAGGAAAAAAAAGTCGTTCAACTTCTTTGATCCTTGCCTATTATATAGTTATCAATTAGGTGACCTCTCGGTCATTTGGGAATTTACTGTTTTTTCAAGAACGATATTGAGCTCTGTATTAGGTTGAGCAATTCTACTATTCAATGCATTGTTATTTTTTTTCAGGTTTTCAGAATTGTCAACGATACTATTACATATAAAACAGGAAACTTCAGTACATTAAATAATATACCGTCTACTTTATGTAATGAATCCTGTTACAAATGTGGCGAATGTTACAAGCAAGCGGAGGAAATTAAACCATCTGTTATTGTCAAAAATGGTGACATTATTTTTACAGCTGGGTTTCCTGTATATAAAGACTCAACATATGGCTCTCCTTGTTCGGAATTATCGAGAGAAGGCATTTTGATGACACAGTCTTTCTTATATGCAATAGATACTGTAAAAGATAAATATCCTTCGAAAAATTTGCTATCAAAAGTTTCTATTGGTGCTTTGATATATGATACATGTGGCGGAAAAATTCTTGACTCGGCACAAATTGTTAGTAATTCGAACTGTCCTCTAACCTTTTTCAGCGGACAAAATAACACTACTGTTTCTGGAAGCTTGATGTCCGACATTAGATATTCCACCTCTAGAAATTTAATGAGACCAGGACCTCTGACAAATGATCTTGCATCGTTTAAAATTTCAACCGCTGGATTATCTCTGTCGCCGGAAAGATATGACGTATATTTAAAAGATTTATCGTCATTATTGAAATCAATTAATTGGACTTATGTATCCCTTGTATATTCTGATGATTTCAGTAAAATGGACTCTGTAAATCATCATGTATCTGATATGCGAAGTGGTGGTATATGTTTATCTGATGAAATCTTTTTTCACAACACCATCACAACAATCGATACAGTTGCATCAAAGGTCATCAATTCTACTCTTAAAAGCGGCGCAATTGTCCTTTTGACAACACTAGAAGATACTATGAAGTTGATGGAATACCTGCGAACAAAGAATTTTTCTTTTGACAATGCCAATTTCATTTTCTTTGCATGGAATGTTATTACTGATCTACCGAAAGGTTCAGTTGTCATTCGGCCACGGATGTTATCGGATCCATCCCTCAAACAGGAGTTGAAAACACTTTCCGTCATTGATAATGGTTACTACAGAGGACCGGTAACAGACAGTGTAAACCATTGGTGGGTAAAGTATCACGAGCATCGCCATAAATGTCACGTGTCAATTAAAGACAATACTTTGCATCCAAACTCTTGCACTAATCAACCGACTTTTTCCGACGATGATATCGATATGACAGTTCCAGGTCTTATTGTTGAATACGTCGACATTATGGTCACAATTGTTGATGAACTATATAAAACAAAGTGCCCATCTCAGTCCGGACCCTGTGAAGCATTTATGTCATCTGATGATTTGGCGGATTATATAAAAACAGCAGTTCCCGGAGTCACATTTACAGACGGTTCTAACAGGATTAGTTTTACAGCAGATGGTTCTTTGAGGATGCCATTAGAAGTATTCAACATTCAACTTTCATCTAAAATCATGGTAAAATTATCTGTCAGTTCTTTGTTGTGATATTGTAGGCTAAACACGCAAATGTCATTAATTAATCTATCATGTCTTTTTGCCATGCTCTTTCATAACGCAATTTTGATCATACTTAAGGTCATTGAACTATTAATTGGCTATGTTCCAGATTTTTGTATTATTGTTTATTTTTTTTTTTGCTGAACAGCTGAAATTTCATTAAGCGCTGATAGATACATACATTTCTCTATTTCTTGAATCAAGTTTAACAAACCGAAGATTTTTGCCACAATGTTGCTCTAATTTTCCTTAGCCAAAATAACGTTACATTATTAGAAATATTTTTACGTAATACAGTTTTTAATATAACCAAAAAGCGTCATTGTATATAAAGTCCTAGCATACTATCTATAATGAGCGATTGATCATTTTTAGAGAACGTGCCTTAAGTTAAGTGTTAAACGTCAGAAGTTAAGTCTCACATAATAAAGTACAATTGTCATTTTACATACGTGAAAGTTGAAAATACCTAAGGTAATAAAAGAATTTATAACAAATATAAGGATTAATTCATGTACTATGGAGGGTTAACAGTTCAAACGCCACATGTTTTAGTGATAGGTTTACGCAGGACAACAGTAATCGGGAATGAAAGCCGGCAGACGGGACGAATTTGGACTTTCCAATGTAATGCTTTTATGTTTAGTGCAGTTGGTCAGAAATATGTATGGTTCTGACATTAAACTTTTATAAACATCTTATATTGTTTGAAACTGCACACAACGCTTATATTGCTAAGTATATAGTTTTTAAATTCAAATACCCATCAGTTAATGGTATTATTTAACAGAAATTTATTATATGTTTTCATTTTTATAGGTTGCAACAATTACAAAGGAAAATGAAGTTACCATGTCAACAAACCAGATAGTTGCTTTTGATTTAAATAACTCTTCTGTAGTTATTCAGCACCAGTGCTCCGGATGGTGCCCATCTTGTCACCAGTGTCAAACAAATACTGCACAGAACATTGACTATTACTATAAATCTGGTGATATTGATCTTTTTGCATTGTTTCCAATACACTCCATGGGTGCTAAAATAGGAATATGTGACCTACTTGCTCTGAAGGAGGGAACTGAGTATCTTACAGAAGCTTTCCTCTATTCGATAAACACGGCAAAGTTGAGATATCCATACCTTTTACAGGGAATATCTGTCGGTTCTTTAATTGTCGATACGTGTTCCAGTGTAGACACAGTACAGCAAAGTATAGCAAATTTTGAAAGTTGTTTTGCTTCGTTTCCGTCATCGAGTGGGAAAATGGTTTCACCCATGTCAGTTCCTAGTTACCTTTTATATTCAAATATCAGTACCGCAGAAGACTTAAGTGCGTCAATTCAGCGACATGGTAAATTTGTCATGTCACATTCAACTGATTTTAAATATAAAGGAACAATCATGGGAACATTACAGTATTCATACGCGAGGTCTGAAGTTACTACAATTGTTAACTTTTTATCAGAAATGAAATGGACTTACGTCTCTGTTGTGGGTTCTTCTGAACCTCTCTATACTTGGAAGGTGCAACAGTTTGAAGAACTCGCAGCAAGAAATAACATTTGTATAAATACAGTTCATTCTATATCAGATTCTGGTACAGCTAAATCTGCTGTTGATGCAATTAGTTCCGGTCCTATCAATATGAATGTTATAATCCTTTTCCTCTCAGTAGAAGATATAAAAATGTTTTTTGGTTCTAAAATACTCAGTAAGGTCCATATCATTGGAGATACAAACATTGCATGGAATGGCTTAAATACAAATATACAGATTCCTCTTGGAACAATAGTAATAGATCGATCGAACAAGATAAATTCAGATCTAAAAACTTATTTAGACACCCTAAATACTCAAACGATAAGTCGTTATGGAAATCCTTGGCTGAAAAAATTTCAGACAGGACGTGAAAATTGCAAACTAAGTCAATCTCAGTCTTGTAACTTACCTAATGATATTATGTTGCAGTCATCAAAAGTTGTAATGGAGACGGATATAATCCTCCATGGTTTACACAATAGAGTTACTAAACTTTGTGGTCAACAGACAAAAATGTGTAAACTGCTAGAAACGGAAGGATTGTCTCTTCATATGGAAGACTTTAGAAATATTAGCTTCTCTTACTTACAGGATCAGATAGTACTCTATACAACTGATGCATACAACGGTGCATATCAGATCCAAAATTTCCAAGAAAATAAAATGGTCAAGGTAAATATGTTATCGTAAAATTGTCAGAGAGCGGCTGATTCATACGGGTGGATTCATTATAATTCAAAATATTTAAAAGGATAACATATCATGTCACGTAAAATCTTGCCGTCTATATTTTTGTTATTGCAAGAAGAAAATCTTACTACGGAACATTATTTCTAACTTACAACAACTTTAAAAATAAGAAGATGTGGTATGGTTGCCAGTGAGACAACTCTGCACATGAGACCAAATGACGTAGAAGTTACATTGGGATCAATGACCGGAAAAAAATAGAAAAAAAAGACAGACGTTTGTTAAGACAAGGTGCTAAAGTGTAGCAAACATCCAACGTCGAAACACTAATTCACCACATCACTTATATCTCCAAGGGACACAACTGCCGTAAAAATATTACTGATTTTCAAAATCTGGAAATCTTTGACGAATCATATTCAACCCAAATTAAAAAGTTTGGTATTGCTATCTATTTTCTGAGGTCTACCCGGATTTGATTACCACAAGTTTACCATTTTGGTCAGTTTTGCAATTTTCATTTTAATATACCTGTCAATAACGAACACATTATGGTACTCAAGTATGCCTAGAGCGAGTAACTTCAAACTCTACAAAATTACCAGAAATGAGGAATTGAGGGTCTGTATATTATACTTTTAACATTTTCACACTCGTCGTTTCCGAATAATAGGTTTTTCATTTTCGAAAATAAGCTATTTTGAAATGACGCGCACTATTGGGCGATTAACTTCAAACTTCACCAAATTATTAGGTATAATGGTCTAAGTGTCTGTATTCTTATTGAAGATTTTCACTTTTGTCGTTTCAGAGTAATGGGATTTTAATATCATACAAATCGAGCATCATTGCAGGGAGTGCAGTGATGTGCTGTTGTATACGTCCTTGTTCTTGTATCTGTGGTTGATATTGTCCTATTCGCAATTATACCACATCTCCTCATTTGTTGAAAATAGAGTAGCCCTCATTTTGTTGTAAAAAATGTATCTCTAATTAGAACATCCTTTATTTTGTTGTATGGTACATGTTTTGACCTTTGCAAGCTTATGAATAGTAGTGGAGACATAGTATTTCATAGGACAACTGCTTATTTTATTATATTTTTGGGATGAAAATAAACGAATATAACATATTTAAAGCATTATATACTTGTATTGTAGTCACTGGGATAACACCATGAACATCATCGAAGCAATTTTGTTAATGGGTTGCGACTCTTCCCAACTCTATTTTTCACAAGTCTCCCATAATAACTACTGTCTTACAACACTTTTGAATTGTTCAACATATTAAGGATTGTCTAGCCCAGGAATAGAGTACCTTAGCTGTAGTTCACAAAACCTTTCGGAATTTTTGGTCCTCAATGCTCCTCAACTTCGTAGTTTATTTGGCCTTTTTAACTTTTTTTCATTCAAGCGTCCTGGCTGATGAGTCTTTTGTAGACGAAACGCGCGTCTGGCGTACAAAATTATTAGCCTGGTATCTTTGGTGAGTTTTTTTAACAGACGTATAGTTGATAAATAAATAAATGCTTTATGTATATTTTATTTTCATACATTTCCTTTGAAGGTTGGAGAATGGACAAACAATACTTTATCTCTATCCAAAGAAATCATCCGTGCATATAGTAATGGTGGTGTGGTTCAGAAAGTCTTACCGTTGTCTCGATGTATCGGCACATGTTTATGCACGAACCTTAACAACACAGAAGAAGGAACAGAAATGCCGGAGCCTTACCAAGACCCGGAGATGATATTTTATTCTTCGTCTGCAATATTTAACAGTAAATTATGGACAATAATTATACTTGCAGTCGCCTGTGGAGGAGTCGGAGCGTCCTTGTTATTCATCGTATACGTTATTTACAAAACATGTATCGGGTGTCTCAATAAACGGTACATAGGACTCGGAATTCTTCTACTTTTATCAATAACAGCATTGTATTTGTCTGTTTTACCATTTTTGTTTACACCAAGTGAAATGGGGTGCACTGCTCGACATCTGCTACCAGGAATAAGTTATGCATTAGTTTATGCAACATGCTTAGCCAAACTTATGTCACTGAGATCTTATAAATTAATTGGATTAGGAGGTGAAATTTCAAATTTAAATCAGTTTTTGACGGTGACATTTGTAAGTGGTGTTCAAATTGCAATATCGGTGCAATATGTTGCTTTGAAAGGCCCGTTCCTCGAAACAAAGTCAATGTCCAATGAGAAAATGTATTCTTGCAAATTTGACAGAGAATTGTTTGTAATATATTTAATTTATGACATGTTATTAATAGTGATCTGTTCGTTGTACGCTTTGACTGTAAGAAAAGAGAAGAAAAATATGGGTGAAGCTATCTTTATTCTCATTAGCAGTTGGATAAACATTGTTTTATGGACTGCTTGGGTAGCTGTAACATTGATAATATCACGTGACTATGTGGAACTAACAATTTGTATTGGGATTCTTGCGTGCGCGACAGTGGTCATCATAACAGTATTTGTACCGAAACTTCACAAAATTTCAAAGTTAAAATATGATGTGAAAAAAAATGGAGTTCAAAATGGTGGCTATAAAATCGACACAGAATTTATGTTTGAAAGACCTCATACTTTACCCGGTGGATTTAGAAGTTCTTACAATATGTCGCCACAAAAAACAAATCCGAAAAGTATATCTACATTTGACTCAAGTATGAGTTATTGAAATAATCATTACGTCAAAGAAAACATGATATTGTATTGTATTTTAATTTTTATATGAAGAATACATATTTTTAATGAAAATTAAACAATATTGAAAGAGATTTAAGAAATGTTACGCAACTCCTACGACGTAACAACAGAACTCTGACTTATTGGTGTTTTATTCAATCTCATAGTGCGTTTGAGGAATGTTGGCTTATAGACGGCAAATCGTAGTATTGAACAAGCATTACCATTTTCTCAACCTATTATCTTGTTTCAACACAAAGTTTTGAGAATACATAATTATTCCATTTCATGTGTGCATGATTTGAATGATGATTACCAAATATATGATATATTGCCTTACATAACAAAATGAATATACGGTACAGATATCCCAAATTGTATTATTGATTTATTGTTATCAACTCCTACATTCTGTTGAAATGATTTGGATTTTCTATAGTGTAAAATATTTTATATAATAAGAATTATTGAAAATGCTTGTTTCTTCGATGTTTTTGTCTCTCTTGCCGCGAGGATCGCAAAAACATACACTTTACCTTGCCAAAAAACAGCATTGTCAACCAAAGTGCTACGTTTTCTGATTAGTCGCATTCCAGTTTTCTTAAACTAGTATGATTAGTATCTTTGCATCTCACCTATAATAAAATATACAAGGTTTTGCCTCTTTACTCAATTCCAATGATATTTTTTGTCCAATGAATTTTAGATTGGTCTTTGATTAGATGAAAGTGTATTAATAAGGATCGATGAGTTACAACCCGAGAAAATGTACTAAATAACTTCATACATGTACGATCTCCAATGATGAGTAAGGCACATTGTAATATAACCCAATTAATAAGAAACAACTAAGTCTCAATGAACTGCAACGCAAAAACTATACATTTTTTTATTGTTAGGGACACATATTGATAAATGATTGTTAAGTTTTTACTAATGCCTCGATTTTGCAGAATTTTCCCTGCATTATATATATCCAGTTGTCATATTTTAGGACAGTATTTTTCTTATTTTCAATAAACAATGGTGTATGAATCTTATACCTAATTAGATATCATATAAGTATAGCAAACATTAAAATTTGGCTAAGCTTTAATTTTCACAATGGTCATGTCAATTTACAATAAAAAAAAATAGTTTTACAGATGTAAAGCAAAGTACCAAAGTACTAAGGATCTCTATCGGAGATCGTGTAATTTTGTATCCAATTTTCAAAAGCAGCAACATGTGTATAGTAACCATAGTGACTATTCCTATCGCATCCAACTCCCCATGAAACTATTCCGACCAACACCCAAGGATGGTTTTCTGAGAGTCTCATAGTGAGAGACCCACCGCTATCACCAAAGCAAGCGTCTCCCATATTTCTTCTAGAATAACCAGCACAGAACATGCTGTCAGTAAAATTTCCTTGGCCAATATTTACAGACGCACAATCTTCACGATTTACATAGGGAACGTACACCTCCCGGAGATATTCTGGTGCTGCTTTCCGGAATTCACTGTATTGACCACATCCTACCACGCGTCCTATTTTATGACCGAGTTTATGAGTTAAGTAATTATTGTTAATGACAGAAGAGGGTTGAAGACAGACTGGTTGAATATCCTCCGTAAACGTGACCGATCTGTCCAATTCAATCAAGGCTACGTCATTATCGTAAACAGCACGTTCACCAAAATTTGGATGAACAACGTAAGACTTTATACCATATTTAACACCTCTTTCGCCGTTGCAACTATTTGTTCCCAGGAAGATATCAACCTTTTCTTTGGCAAACAATTCTTTAAATTCAATGTGAAAATGGCGAATACAATGAGCTGCTGTGATTAGCCATGAATTCGATATGAGATTGGCACCACAAAACGTCTTATCCTGAAATGAAAATCGAATAAAGCTAATCTTTCCTCGTAATCCTGAAACATGTTAGTGTTGATATGAATACTAGTAGGTTGTCCTGACGAAGGAAAACATATCGCGCTGAACATGCTTTATTGCATACAATAAACAAGAACCCACAAAGCGCAAGTCTTCTTAACTGATAAACGTATTTAGACTAGTCGCAAATCAGATTATGAAAACCAAAAGTAAAAATTCTAACTTGTTTTTCGTGGAAAAGTTTTCTTTACGTCAGAAGAAAGACTTATGGATACTCACGATACAATGAAATGTATTCAAAGAAGTTACATTGTAATTCTATAAATACATGTTTTAACTTGTTCCTCAAATATACCCGGGGGCCTCGGTCTAAGTAGTCGTACTACCGTATCACTAGCCTGTCAACACTGAGGTTGTGAGTTCGAATCCCGCAAGTTGAAGGTGCGCTCGACTCCAATCTTAATTGACTAGGATTGTCAGTTTTCCTACCGAAGGTCGGTGGTTTTCTCCGGGCGCTCCGGCTTCCTCCACCAATATAAATTGACCGCCACGAAATAGCACAATAGTTTTGAAAGTGGTGTTAAACACCAAATAATCAATCAATCAATCAAAAATACCCTTTTTGGCATTCAGGTTTTGTGTAACGGATTTGGACAAATGCATAATACTTCAATCATAATTGAAATAAGAAATTTGCCACTATCTACAGCAATGGCAATGATATAGTTATTAAGACCTGAAAGGAACATTTCAAATAAAAATAACATAATCAAATTATACATAAAGTTTAAAAGATAATGTTCAACTGCAGTAACGCCGTTCTAGTTTTATTGCATTAGATAAAACTACCAAACCCAAGTGACAGTTGAAATATGTCTATAGTGCTCCTACAATAGCACAAATGAGTTTATTTTATTGACCCGGTCATTTTATAAAGTACATTGTCAGTCTTAAACACTTGCTCTGTTGATATGTTTATAGTTGCATCCAGACAGTTCAAATAGTCCGTTAATATTTTTGATTTAAACATTTGTTGGAGAAAATGAAAGAGTACCAAAGACTATTCTCTACAGCAGACGAATAAGCGAATGAAACTAATTGGTGACTTTTCATTCGTATTTTTTATCTAAATACGAATGAAAAGTATATAATAAATATTCTGATAAATATTATCATTTTTCAGAAGCCTCTGTGGTATTACAAGTACTTTACGTTATTTGTCAGTTCCATTAAAGTAATTGATATGACGAAAGTAGTTGCTATTTGCAGGGTTGTGTTGAACTGGAGACAGTTATTGCTATATGTTTTATATACAAAACTGACGCTCCCCGTTGCCACCAACAGAGGGCATCCCTTAACGTAGATGTTAAAGGACAGTTTAATCCACTGAAACATGTGAATTGTTTGGAAAAAAGTTGCAGATTGGATACAACTGTATTACCGTTTTTTTCTGCAGGATGATAGGAAGGATATGCACTGGAGCAAACGTATTCCTGAAAGTACATGCATTACGTATATCTAGAAATTAAAGATGTATACATTTTACATGAGTGGTTTCGAAAGCGTTGTGTTTACAGTTTCCTTACATCAATCGTGTAAACTTTTTGTATTTTTATCGGGGTGTAAAAACGTTGCCCAAAGCACATTTTGTATGAAGCGCTTCATACTAAAATGTGTATAAACAATGCTTTTACAACCCAATAAAGATATTAAAAATACATTAAATTCTTATAATTATATTTTTATGCTCCTATAATGAGATTACGAGTTATATCAAGCTTTTCGTTTGTTGTATAAAGCATTGTTGTGACACTGCCATAGAAAGCACATGCAGTAATGGCTGTTGGATGTTGTTAAATATAATATTTTTTGGAATGCCTCACGATTGTTGTCCGTCTATCAAAATTACAGATTCGAATGAAACATACATGTAATGTAATTATTAAAAAGTTTCATTTAAATGGATCATGGGATTCTTTGAGAATGGATTACCCATAGGACTGACAGTCAACATACAATGGTAATGACCCTACAGCAGTATCGTAAACGTATGATATCGATATAAGATTTTCCTAAGGAAGTTGCAATCTATATTAGAGTACAATCAGAAAGTATTATTCAATTCATGCTAGTATTGAAACACTCCTCTGACTATCCAAAAGTTTGTGAAACCACACACATGTAACGTAGCTTAATATATTTAAATGTGAATAAAAACTCCGCGCATATAATCCCAGTCTTGACTTGTTGCCAATATATGTAAACTAAGACACCACATAGTTGATATTAATACCAAATTCCCTTAATGACGAAAAAATAATACCATCATAACAATGACTGATGATCCTAATTTGGGACTGGTAAGTATATCTTAACAGCGATAAAATTGCATGATGCTATAAGCTTTTGTCACAAAATTTCCTAAACGTGTGACATATAGTCTGTAATACATTTAGTCTACAATTTTCGAACTTCAGTCTCGCCCCTGTATCGGAATTTCATTATCTTTGAGTTGATCAGCAGTAAAAAAATGCAATGTATAAGGTATAAAAGAACTAATTGTCAACATGGAAGTCTTCAGTACCATACACAACTTCACAGCTTTATCTTTAAAGTGTAAAAAAACAAACTGTTTACCATCATACCTGACTACTCATACGTAAAACAGCATGCCATGGCGCTGACGCCTGGTCTACAGAGTAGCCGAGTGTTATTCTCCCAGCCATTCTGACACGTGGATTGTGAACCAAAACATCTCTCGCACAGACTGAAAATGAAGTCGAAATCATACTGTAATGAATACATAATAAATACACTCCACGAAAGAAAAACAAATGTTGTGCTATGATTTTTTCAAAGTAACAATTCGCATTTTGATTGATTGGTTACACTACTTAAAATATTCTGCATACTTATTTAAAGAAATATCGTTCGCGATATCATTCTGAGGTTATTAACTCTTCAAATTGACATATTTGCCCAAGATATCAAAATGAGAATTTCGGAATTTAATTTTTTTTTTATTTAAATGAGAGAAGTTTGGAGCTCAAATCTATTTTGAATTTATGTCCGAAATCTGGAATCTCGAAATTAACGTTATGGACTGACGGGTAACATAGATACCAATTTCATAAGTTCCTTTAGAAAACAAGCGTACAAGCAACAGTAAGTTCATCTGCTTTATTCTACATGAGTCAATATCAGTAAAGACCATGCTTGACGTGGACCTGAGAGACAATTTTCATCCTACTTCTGATTCTGCAAGATAATCGTTACAGTCAACACACTGATTATCCAATCAACTAACTGATTATCCTTAGACTATAAGAAAATGATAGTTTCACTTTAAAAACATTAAAAACGTAGTCGATATATATGTTTAAATACGAAAAAGGTTTTTAGTGCACGATGAGTAGCTGAAAACGACCATACTTACAGGAATTAAATCCTGATGCCGGAATCACTGATAATTGAGCAGATCGTTTGACATGACATCCATCATTGCTTGTAACTTCACAGGTATATTCTCCCGCGTCAGTAGGTATAACATTTGAGACTGCTAAATACTGTCCTTCGCTCAACGTCTAAAACAAAGTTATTAGTATATTGATTAAAATATTTCCCTTTTAACTCCTCACTGAAACGTAAATTAATTTTTAAGTTCATTAATAAAAAGTATTAAAACAAAACACTTAACAAAAACGATAAACAAACAATGATTTCCGTGTTATAAATAGGTTTTCTTGTGTAACTACCAATATATACCAACTATTTAGCAAACACCAAAGGACGATGAGGAAAACAACTAGATCTATAACCCATCGTACGTCATTCAACAATGAGCTAAACCCATACTGTATAGTAAGCTATATAAGGCATGCTCGTGACCTACAGTTTAAAAAGCCAAAAATAAAAAAAATGTTATCTTTCGTAATAAAATCAACGAAAGGTTTGAGTTATCTAAAACAAGAATGACAGTCAAAATGAAATCAAATTTGATGAATAAAAACCAAATGACCGAGCATATATAAAAGAATGAAAAGATACCAATTTGAATTATCTTTCTTTTAACCGAGATAAATGACAAAATTGCATAATAATGTATTTTAAACACCAGTCTCGCAGGTATATATCTATAAGGATAAAATTGCATTATAGTTGTCCCCGTGTCCAATTTACATGAAATAAATATACGGTATAAGACACATACACCATGAAAACATGATACACCCTATCAAATTAGAAAAACTTCCGAGCAAGTTTTTTTTTTAATTAAAAAGCGGGTTTTTTTTTTTACAGATAATGGTATTATATATAATGTCAAGGGATCAGCAGACAATAAAATTTGACTGTGTTCACAAGACTCACTAAATAGTATCGTTATTGTTAAGACATATAGTCCGTTAACTTTCAAAACCGTCCAAACTGAAAGGTTTGTATTGCTCTATCTTTAATTTTCTGTGAAGCATTTTGTAGATTTTGTTGTTTGTCCATTCGTCTTTTTTTAACACCGTGTTGTCTGTCTTTTTTCTACTGGTTTTAGATTTTCTCCTTCGTATCTCCATTTTTTTACAATTGCAGAAAGGATAACAAGTTCAAAGTTCATTGTTTTAATGAAATTTCTTGTCTCTTCATCCGTTTGACTTTTTCTTTCTATCTATATGTTCACCCACCTGTTAATAACCATTGCAAGACCAACTCAACTTACATCCGGTGATAGAGTTTAGTGAAAGTTCACATATTTATATTGACTCATGGAGATGAACATGAGGAATAGTATTCATGATAGTAAAGTTTCTTTCCAAATGTTTGATACGATTCACAACAAGATTTATTAAGTCAGTGTCTTGTTAGCGGATATAATATCATTGATCTTCATTAAACAGAATTGAAATTAGAAAACGAGCTCTTATTTCTACATATTTATTAGTATTGTCATAAACACAGCTGTTTTAATTATTTTGACGTCAGCAAGCAAAGAACAAATCCCTCATGTTGAGTATTATAATTAATGAGACGGTTGTTGGTATTTTGTCTTTTGAACCAAAGATAAGTTCAAAAAACTATTTCTTATGTTTTAGTATTGATATTTATAATCTACAATACAGTATAGATAATGATCATCATGTCTTTACCAATGCGTCTGTCTGTTTGAACGTATGCTATTTCTCATATATGTATCCAAGAAATGCACATTTGTTTACACAATTTGAATTAACTCATAGATACTGGTGTTCTTCGCATAAAACTCTCTATTATAAAGTTGATCATAACTTTTCTATGATTGACAATCAGTTTAAACACATAACTTTTACTATAGTGGTTTCAAAGAAAATATCGAAGAAGCACTGCGAAAATTGTCAAAAAAAATTACAAATATGTTGACTTTGAATTTCAGATCAGTAACAACATTCTCGAATTTATACGGTTCTATCATGCCATTACGTAATTTTTATTTCAATATATATGCATAAACCATGTTACAATATGTAATTAATTCACACATAAGTTTGATCTTAAAATAATTATGTTTCCCTAAAACACTATTTTTCAATTTCAGAGGGAACACAATCTGTCATTTCCAGAAGCGTCATATAATGGTTCATATCATTTTAAGACATTTATATGTATTTCCTGAAAGTACGCACGAAAATCAAGCCTTTTTGGTTAACCACTAATTACAAATACATGCAACCCGTAAAAGTGCGATCAAGTTGGAAGGAAAATCCTCATATATGAAATAGTCATTGTCTAAAAAAGAGAAAAACATCAACATAGAAAGACAAGTACCATAATTATAAAAGTTGAATACAGGTTCCGGAAAAACAGGGGTATTGGTCACTCCCATATATTCATAAAACGGGTATTTTAAAGTTATTCGATAATTTATTCGTAGTCATAAAAACTAGAGGTGGATAAAACATGTCAACACTTAACCAACTATGTAACCTACAAGTTATCCTAAAACAAGGAAGACATCGAACATTGATAATGATTAAAGTTATATCACTTCTTAGGTAAAGGGCCTTTTTCGTACGGTTAAGTTCTAGATATTTTATATCTTTTGGATAGTTTTTCGGTGTTTTGTACGGAAGCGTATTAGCGCCACACAACTTTTTTTTATATTTCTTCCTACGTTTGCGTAACCTTTGCGAAATAACGCAAACCTTTTGCGATATAACGCAAACCTTTGCGTAATAACGCAAACCTTTGCGAAATAACGCAAACCTTTGCGATATAACGCAAACATTTGTTTTATCTTATTTCTTATTTAAGATTCAAAGGAAGCAGCAGTTATTAATGGAGGAGGCTGCATATATTAAAATTTATCTTCTTTGTACTCATTGCAAAGTAAAATGCTTTACTATTTAACTAATAATGAGCAGGATAATAGATAAAAGAAGATGTGGTATGAGTACCGATGAGAAAACTTTCCATCTAAGTCATAATTTGTAAAAGTAAACCATTATAGTTCAAAGTACGGTCTTCATCACGGAGCATTGGCTCACACCGAACATCAAGCTACAAAGTGCCCCCAAAATGATATATATGATAATACATGTACACATATTACAATGAAAATTGAGTAAATTAAAGTTATACCGAAGAAAAAAACCAACCCTGCTAATATAGCTATTGCCGAATATAAATTTACTTCCAAAGTAAGCTCTCGTTTGAGGATTGTGTAAGGTTGGTTAACTACCCTTTAGCAATAGATGAATAAAATGAAGATGTTTTATTTATAAAATTATGTTCTCTCCATTTAAATTGCTACCAATTTACTACAATAGATTGGAAATTTCATGACTTTTTATCAAAGAATCTTTATCATATTCTGAGATTAAAAAAACGATTTTTTACATCAAAATTTAAAAAAAAAAAGGTTTTCGTTATTTCGCAAAGGCTTGCGTTATATCGCAAAGATAGGAAGAAAATTATATAAAAAAATTGTGTGGCGCTAATACGCTTCCGTAGTTTTGTAAATTATACCATAGTTTTTGTTGGAACCCCCGGTCATAACCTCACGAGACGAAGACTTTAAGATATGTAGTTATTTTAATCGATTTTCAAATGGAGTTTCAAGTTATTTTTTTATTGATAATATGATATAATTCTTTTTCATTGCAGTCTGCGGTGACCGACACAAATTTCTCTTCTTCGCTCCTTTTCGAATATGGATATAAAATGGCACTGAAATGATGAATGATGTGGACAAGCACTTCCCAAAAGACGCTCATTAAGTGAAAACTCGTACCTTGTATATGTTTCATTTTTTTTTTACAATAATTTCAATATAATTTGCATATAATTCTTTCACTCGAGATAATTTACGTTTTTTAACTTCTATTTAGGCTGAGAGGTAAAACAAAAATGTGTTCTCGGTTGCCACAAATGCAAATGAATACGTTTAAATTTACCATAAACAGTTATATGTTTTATTTATTATGCTGCTTATTAAGGTGGTACCTAACACTACAGGGAGATAACTCTGTAAAAATCAGCTAAACGTTTTAATTACGTTGTATTGTTAAGGATATATTAAGCTTCTCAATGATCAAAATTAGTGTTTGTCAAACTGCTATATAACCAACGAAATTTTTCTGATAAAGTGGTTGGTTCAAATTTTTTGAAATTTTTATATTTTTGTCAAAGGGTCAAAGTAAACATTTTGTCAAAATTTTATGAAAATTAAACGAGCCAAATTAATATTAGTCAAGGTGTTGGGTACCACCTTAAATGTATACTGTATATACATTTTAAGAACAATGTGCATACATGTACTTATATGAAAATGATGCAAACTGTACACCCACCTATACAAAAGCAAAATTTCAAGACTAGATGTGAATATGAAAATCTAATTTAACCATAGTATAATTTGAAATATAAGCAAACTAATTTTTTTCAATGGATTTATCTCAAAATTTAATCATGGACGTCCTTCTTTTCAAATTGTTAACTTCTGACACAGTTTATCATATCAATAAATTAAAAAAAAGATTAATCTTATCTTTAACCGGTCTTCAAAGTCACTAATCGCATTGAATTATTATTAAACATACGTAATAGCGAAATAAATTCTTCTTAGAAGTTACTTTAAAATTTAACATGATTAAAAGGATTATGAAAAGATATTTAGCTTTCCAATTATTTTCAATAATATTAAAATATAACCCATTGACATGCAACCTTCGAATATTCCACATGTACAGTGAAGTATAGAGTCTGATAACATATTTTAATTCAAATATTCAGGTTATTGGAACAAAGGATGCAACTCGTTGAACTCAGAATGTTTTGGAAGTGCGTTTAAATCTTCTTGTGTTTATACTCCAAATGCTTAAAGTATTGCTTTCCAAAATGTTGCTCTTCTGAAGGAAGTTATGATCAAACTGAAATCGGCATCTTAATTCATATTTTATCATATTTTGAATTACATACAAACACAAGATATCTTAACTGAATTATGTATGACAATGTTTCAATCATAAACAATAATTGTATTTCCTATATAACATAATGAAATTTGGAAGCTCAAATATATGTATAGAAAACAGAAATAATTTCATCGGTTTTGGAATAT